AAAACACCAAAAAGCTATTTTGTGAATTTAAAACAAGTTGATACTAGAAAGCAAACCATCTGTTACATTTGATTCCATCACTTGAATCACTCTAAGCCAAGCAGTTATCTAAGATAAAAGATTCTTTATCAGCTTCACACTAAAGTGCACCTGTAACCTTTTGCAGCACGTTTCCTGATTCCACCCTTTCGGATTGTTCCACACATGGAAAGCGCCCTCGGACGTCCCTAACACACTCCTCTGCTTCTGCATATATGTTTCCATGACAGAAAGTTTTAGCCCAACACACACACACACACACACGCACACACACACACACACACACACACACACACACAGGCACACACTCGGTGTGGAAACTCTTCGTCACAGAGACGACAGGCCAAAGCGTTGTTTTCACATGTCGACCAGTGAAGCCCTTTGTTACAGGAAATGACGACATTTGGGCAAAACCATCAAAATACAAGAGCGCTACTGAAAACTGAACTATAAAATTCACCACCGACTGACCCCTGCTGAGAGTGATTATCAGTGCAGAGAAAGAAAAAAACACAAAACAGTACTGTAGGAATATGGTATTAATTAAGGCAGGGGGGTGACTCTCCAGTCGTGATGGGGGGGTTGACTTTTGCCACTAAGCAATGAGGGACTTTTATGTGATTCACTTAATTGTCCATTGGGGAGTAGGGCACATGGAAAGGAAGTGATTCCACATCCTTTCCCAGATATGCAGAAAAACATGATATTCTTCTTATTCCCACCGCATCTGAAACATGAAGTCTGAACACCACAGGCTGTTGATCATGTGACCCCAACGGCACAGCATCGAGGTCATGAGCAGAACCGAGTGCTTACAGAACTGTTAGAAAGTGCAATTAGAATATAAAACATTATTTGACCTGCTGTAATGCCGTGAATAAAATAGATGTAATCATGTAAGTAAATACAGTCAACAACCAACATAATTCTACACTTTCAACAAAATAAAAGCCAGTTTTGTTTCTTCAGAAGGTCCCACTGTAGATGCAGATTCCTCTTTCTACAAATACTTCTTATATGAAGTCACCTTTCTTCTCTCTGAGGTTTCCCCGCTGGTTGTTGTTATGAGGCTATGGAAGCATATATATATATTTAAACCTCCACCTCCAGGGAAGCCGGGCCCGCCGCCAGTTGCTTAGCTAATGGGATGATTTTTATTACAGGACCGAAAAGATGCGAGAACACGGAATAAAAACACATGCGCGGGGCAGAAACTGCCTGCTATTTATTCCTCCACAGTGTATGGACCTTTAGATTTTTCCTTGGGGAACTTGGATGTAGCCGGGATGGACATGTCCTTTGGGGACCTGCAGGCAGAGCAAGACGCACCATCTTTTACACAGCTGTGGACACACAGCTGTTTTTCTGGTGCTGCTTTGAATCACTCGACTACGCTGCCGTGCTTAGCTTTTGTTCAGTTTCCACTTGTTGCCAGTCCTGGCGGTGCCATCTTGCACCCAAAGACTGATGACTTAATAGAAATCTTCTGGTTTTAGCCTCACTGTGTTGTTACACGTGGATGCACAGAGAAAACTATCCCAAATGACAAATTAAAAGCTTTTACTTTGAAAGCAAAAAAAAGCTGATTAAATGGATATGAATGAAGTAAATAATAGAGCAATAGAATTCAACAGCACTGCAGACTGCATCTTCTAAAATGATAGTAAACGTTATCGTCATGTATTGGAGGACTGTTGTGTTAGACTGCATTCATTTTACCGAATAAACTGTCAAATGAGTGATATACTTTGATTTATGAATAATCACATAATCTCAGCAGCACTTAAAGAGGCTTCTCATCCTCTGAACACATAAATACAGACAAGCCTTGTCTAGAATAAAGCTGCCTGCTACCATTTAAAAACCCACTGATACTTGCTACTTCTTCCTGTTAGCAGCCCATCCCCCTCCTTCTGTGGCAACAGCCAGCTGTTACTGGGAAAATCATGATAAATGGGAATTTCCTTAGTAATACATGTAATGGATCAATATTTTGGGAAATCCATATATGGATTTTGTAAGTGCCCTCACTTAGATCGCTTTTGGAAGTAGATATTTGGTTTATTTGATAAAATATTTGCTTCCCAGCGTCCCAGTTTCTGATAAGCAGCCATCCTTGAGGCATCCCCGCAGTGATGTGCAGGAAAAGGCGCCCGTAGAGCGAGCACACTAGCGTTTCCTTCCTCCACCTTCCGCCAAAACCTGGCGTTTTTTATATTATATACTATAAATATTTACTACCACTAGATAAGTTGTATTCCTATTCGGTAGAGTGGAATCTGATTTTTTTTTACTTCATACAAAAAAACTAAGAAAATCAATCCAATGTGATATAATGCCTTGACATTAGCATGAGCAAGTCAGTATTATAATTTAAGCATTTGTGCAATTGTGCGTGTATTGCATTTTGCTAACGAGCACCACATATGTAGACTGTCTATGTTGATGGATTGTCCGTGCACTTTTGGAGCAGCTTTTGGTTTTGTTTTAAAGTTCACGGCCCTCATTGTTTATTTTATCCCAATTTCTGTCCCGAGCGCACAGAGTGGACGTTGTGTCGGAGGGTCTTACTCAGTTCAGCCATGCAGCATGTGAGGAGCACGGCAGCGGACCAGCAGAAATACCGTGAGCTGGTTTTATGAATAGTGCCATTTAAAAGGGATTGGTTTCGGTGAAGGCCTTATGATGCCCCAGAACTGGCGTCACAGAGAGAGAGGGAAAGAGGGAGCATTCTTTCCAGGCGCTGGAGCAGCACTTACAGACGGGTAGACTGGAGTGAAGGGGTGATGGCATCTTTCCATCTCACGTACGTCACTCCTAAGGCCCAGTTGTTCTAGATGGCTCGGCCCAGTCACAACAGTCGTATTAAAGCCCAGATAAAGCTTTTGTTTTGCACATCTGTCAACACACACTCGGACGGCTCTGGGAGGGTTCTCTCCTCTGATTGTGAAGTGTTTGGTTTTTAATGGCCTCTCCAAATATTTCCACGGGCTCCAGATTGGTCTCCATCATCAACCCTGGTAGCTATCAGGCCCGGCTGAGTCCTTCCGGCCATTGGATGAGTGAAACAATAGAAAGCAAGAGACCGGAAGGGTAAAACAGATGATGCATAGTTCTGGTATCGGTGGACTGCAGCCACAATTGTTCCAGAGGTTCCAGAGGTAATTTGTTCCTGCACGTTTGTGATATTGTGTCTGGGCTTGGACTGAATGATGGCACGTGGTGACTGGCATTGATGACTAGGGGAATTTTTAAGTCAAAGTTGTCGTTTGAGCCACTATTGTTTGTACCGGGGGCCAACGGTATTTGGTATCGGTCATGGCAGTGAGTGTGTATCCTGCAGAGCAACTTCCTGCCATTGAAGTAAGCAAGTATTTTGCCAAACACGGTCAGTGGTTGTACACAGTGAAACGCGAGAGACCACCTTGAAACTGTAAGACAGCACAGGCGATTAAAAGATGTTACTGCCTGCTGGTGATTATTCTGAGGGATCAAAGCCAGTTCAGTAAGAGTGGAAAGCTACACGCAGGTTTGAGAAAGTGGCATCACATAGTAAATTAAACCCGTTGAGCTTTATCTCCAGATGTACGATGATCCTTTGGCATGGATAAGATGCAATGCCTCAATTTCAGAGGAACAACTGCAGTGAATAAGTCCTCTGTGTGACACACATGGGGAGAGCAGGTTGCCTTTAGAAGGAGTGCAGCGAGTTTATGATGTGACGCTTACATTTATAAGGACAATGTGATGTAAGGTTTAAAAATTAAAGCCCTTCAAACTCACATTTGTGAGCAATAAAAGAATAAATTAAAAAAAGACAGACTCCTGAAATGAGCCCCTCAACTGCATCTGGTGCTAGGGCAATATAAAAATAAAAGATGTCAGTTGTAGGTAGAGGCCCTCCCCTGGTGGTCAGAGAGTGTACTGCATCCAGCAGACAGTCTGTCATGACCTCCAGTGTCTGGACAAGGACACATTTAATGACACAACTTCACACTGGGGCTTCTTTGGGTTCCAAAGCAAATACTGCCTCCATGACACGGTTGCATCTCACACCCGAGTCACAGCTCCTTACTGTCAGAAACTACAGAGTGGCTAATGGGGAAAAAAATGCCAGACTAGCAGAAGCAGACTTTATCGTTATCGGCAAGGTGGGCAGCTCAACAAAAGCTCACAAACAGCTGTGTGTTACGATGATTATGCATTGCTCATTGTAAACACAGGTGCGATTAACAACGTTAATCATGGCGCTCTTTTGCGTGGTCGAGCCGGGCCCCGCGATTGTGCCGACTGAATGAGGATGATGCAGAAAATAGAATGAACCATGGTGAGCTCAGGTGCAACTCTCATTTTGTCAATTTACCTTCACGATTATACCTGTTTTACCTGCCGTGACACGTCAGAACGGCTGCCCTGTGTAGGGGCCTATCGGACCGCCTCTTGAGTTATTCGCAGTCTGAAACATCAGTAAAATACACATAACAGAAGTATTTTTCAGACAGCAGAGTACCAAGTGATTTGTCTGTTTCGCTGACGGTTACGTTACTCTACTCGCGAGGGGACAACGCAGCTCATGCAGTCTGCCTCCAGTTGCAGTGAAGAAGAGATGCGATTGCACAGTGACCCGTGGAGGACGACGGAGCCCCCCGTTCACCCGTCTCATTAAAGTCTAATAATATTGAGCTTGTCGCGTGGCGCATTGGCTCATTGAGTCTGCAGCAAAACACTCCCATTATGCAGTAGATCTGGTTCATTGTTCATGAGACACGCAGAGGACATAGAAAGGTATTACTTGCATTATAGCTAGATTCTATATCTAAATAATAGTTTGCGCTGTCTCCTTAAATTAACAGTCGGTTTCCCCTGCTGCCTCCTGCAATGCAGTCTATGATTGAGAACGGTGAAATCACGAAAATTGATTAATTACATGCTTAAATCAACACAACAGGCATAACACATTATCCTTTTTCAAGTGAGTGTTTTATTCTTTTTATTTTGTATAAAAAAAAACAAAAAAAACTTTTGTCCACTTTAGGCAACAGTTAGCATGAGAGTAGTCCCCATAGCTTTTAGATAGTCTAAACGTGTTATTGTTTACAACAATCGCACACCCCTCTCACACAGAGAAACACACAATCACGTAGTGTAATGGTGTTGGTTTGATGGCAGTGGTCCCAAACCTTTGTCTATCAAAAGAAAGCCAAGGACAACAACAGGCAGCTTCTAATCATCACCATTCTAAAAGACGGTATGATGTCAAGGCGAGTCACGTGAAACACACAAAAGGCCGACAATTAATCCTAACCCTCACAATAACTACGCCGCTTTGTTAAAACGTGATGCTTGAGAGCATCTGCTAATTAGGTTTGAAACCACTGCTTTGGTGCAACTGTTAAGCAGATTCATATTAAGAAAGTTGAAAAAAATGATAATAAAAAGGCAAAGAAATACATCAGGCATCTCGTACACGGCGGCACATCTTGTGTTTGACAAGTTGTCGCCCAAAAAGCAGCTGCGATATTAGGGATCAAAACAAAAGGACTGGTTTAGTGTTAGAAGACTCAGCATACTTACACACATCAGTATTAGTCTGACATATCTTAAACAAACACATTTAAAGACAGAACACACACACCTCACTCCAGAATGGCCGCATTAATGATTTGCCGTCTGAGGGGTCGGGGGGCTCGGGGAGGGGGGGTAGGGGGGGCAAAGCAGTGGATTGTAAATCTGTAACATCAGCATCTTTCAGGAATAAAATATGTATGCTCACTAATATTCCCCCTTTAGTCATAATACAGTACATACACATGTACATGCACACGTAGGATAGTCTTTCTCTCTCACTTTGACACGCTAATGTAAAGTACACACATACTGTACAGCTTAAACATAAAATATACAAATTCAGGTTGTTTTTCATCTGTTTCATAAATTAGTAAAATCACATCATTTTGTATAACTACTCTTTAAATGCTATTTTCTCACGAATTTGACTTGATCCATTTCGTCCTTATAGCATCTCGCCCTTTTAACAAGTATACTTATTAAGTATACTTATTAAAAGAGGCGAAGGCCTTGGAAGATCTGTTCTGGAATTTCACATGACTACATGGTTTTACGGGTGTGGCAGAAGCCCATGAAAGCAATTTCCTGTCATACAAAAGTAGGAAGGACTGCGAGGACTTCAAACCAACAGTATCTAATCCACAAACACACAAATAATAAGTAATATCAGATCATTGTAACTACATTTAACTGCATTGCACATGCAGCCCGAGGCGAGCCAGAGCAACCACTAAGGCCAGTGTTAGTCTGCCGCTCTGTGTTGATGTACCTTCATTACAGCAGAGCCAAAACACCCTCTGTTCACAATGTGTATGCAGATTCTTTTTAAAAGAAGAAAAAAGCAGCAACCTCGGCTCCGTCTTGCACATTGCAAACACATATACAGTACACAAATACAAGTATTTCCAGGATTATTAGGTATATTTGTGAGGGATGATACTCAGAGGCCTTGGTTTGGCTTGATGGCACTTGTTCGCCGCGACTACAGGGCTCAAAACCCACTTCGAAAGCAGCCGGCTGGCAAACAGGTATCAGCTCAAACCGGACATTTTTATGATTTCGAGTATAAGATGCAATGCAGTTGCACGTCAGCCTAAATCTTGCGGATGGCCGTTCATCGGCTCGCTGATGGCTTTCGGCGGCTCTCGCAGCCTCCGCCTCGACGTGCTCCCCGGCTGCCTGCGAGCGAGCGGACTTATGGAGGCGTCGGGTAAGTGCTCTGACACAGATGACACCGGGATGCTTCACAAATGTCCCTCTTTGTGTTACGTTCAGCTGTATTCTTCTTTATCGGTATGATCAATTTGCACTCTCATTTGTGTGGGGGGGGGGCTTCCTTTAAACTTTTCACAGTCAATCACCATTGTCTCTCGTATAGATGACCGTGCGCATGCTATTAAACGCACCCGCGTGAGTGCGCCGTTGTCACATGCAGCGTTGTCTGGTCCTGACTGTAACAGAAATGTTTTAATATTACTAATTCAAGAAATGTTATTAAAACAAATACGTGTTTGTGGGTGCACGTTTGGCTGTCTGTTCAAAATTGCTTGATCATTTCTCAAAAACGCTTGCCAATGGCCCTGAATTAACCAAGCTTCCTGCACGCTGCAAAGAAGTTAGTGTTTAGTGTTGATAGTGTTAAACATCATCAAACAAAAGGCTTATGTCAGCATTCACACATTGTATTTTTCAGTTTTTTTGCTACGTTGGAAATGAACAAAGCCCCACTTCCTACACACAAATGTTTCTTATGTTTTCATATCCATTAAGGCCGCATTCATCACCCCCAAGAGAATAATGTACAATGTCGCCTTGTAACTGCATCCATAATACTTCTGGGGAGTGGCCTGTATGTGCTTTCAGCTTTCCCCTTCCCTCACGTATTGTAGTACTCAGCCTCCACATAATTCAGTCGCTACAGGGGATTGTGACCTGTAATATTTTCGATGATAAGCAGTGATAAATGTGAAACGTGTATTTTCTTTTTTTTCTCTCCATCTTTCACCTTAGATGAAGCTGTTGTGCAAAACATCTGCAGAGAAGCTTAAACTAAACTTCGGGAGGCAGCGGATTCACTTCCGCCACCAAGCACGACTCCCGTTGGCAGTGCACTTGGGAGAGGCTCCGCTGGGGGCTCGGGGGCCTCTCCTCCACCGCTACCGCGCTGCCCCCCGAGCGCAGAATCACACCGGTCAAAGACTTTCCTAAACTCTGCCTGTATTCGATCTCTTCAGGCTTGCAAACCTTTGACTCCTCCTCCTCCTCTCCTCCTCCTCTTGCTCGTTTCCTTTCTTCTCCTGCGTGCGGTTGAGCCTCCTCTGCTCTGGGTCGGGCCTCAAAGGCCTCGGGCTCTATGGGGCTGAGCTGGTAGTAGAGGAGAGAGGTGGATTCCTTGAGGAGTTCAGAGGGGCTCTCCTCCTGGTTGTCGGTGACGCAGAGGACCGTGGCCCCCGTGGGGAAGGGCCCCTGCAGGAGGACCTGCTCCGCGCCCAGCGCATCCGCCTGCTCGGGCAGCCGCCCTCCCAAAGCACCGGGCAGGAGGCAGAGAGGCTGCTCAGCCAGACCTCCGGTCTCCTCCCTCTCCCGCCTCTCCTGCTCCTCGGCGCTCTGCAGGTGCAACACGGCTATCTCGTTTTCCCGCTCCAGAATGTCCTGCTCCGCCAGGAGATCCTGAACCTCCACCGCGGCCTGCGACTCGCTCACCTTCAGCTCAGAGTCCAGGCCGGCGACCAGAGGGAGGTCGGGAGAAGCGGGGCAAGTGGAGGAGGGGGAGGACATGTGGTCAGAATCGGCGTACTGGTCTCCGGGCCCTTGGATCAGCATCCTCCTCTTCTCCAGGTCCAGCTTCATGACGGTGTGCAGGTAGTGAGTTCTGACGCGCAGGGGGTTGAACTCGATGCGGCCCGCTGCGTTGCCGCATCCATCCCTGGAGCAGCCACATGGGAATGACATCCGATCCACCTGGGGATGAAAGTTTGATTTTACTACAAGAGGAGAAGGTCACCGACTCATATAGCCAAGTGCTAAACTAGTAAGGGAGAGAGAAAATCAGGTTACTGTATGATAAATTGGGTTGAGATGGGGAAGGTAGCAACAATTTTGGATGTCTGGAACATTGAAACCATCAAAGGTTTAAGGTTTATTATCAGAGTAGAGTTATTTCAGTATGTTGTAGCTCTGAACAATAAAGAGAGATACAGCCTTTATTGTAATAAATTACAGTAGCCATCAGTTTTGGGCCCAAAAAAGGCCCTTGGAAACAGGAAGTATGGATATCAGGGCACACATGATGTACTGAGCATTGAAACCTCCTACGAGCCTCGGCTGGCGGCACAGCGGCATCTTCTCGGCCCTCACCTGGCACTTGATGCCGGCCTGGCTGCAGCCGCAGTGGCGAGGGTCGCAGTACAAGCGGCAGTCGCAGCCGCATTCCTCCCGCGAGAGGCGGATGGTTCTGAGGTCAGCTTTCTCCCGGGCGTCTATGCGGGCGATGCCGGAGGCCCGCAGCAGGGCCCGCCGGCGCTTTGTGGGCAGCGGCTGTAGGAAGAAGCAGTCGTCCACCTCCACGCCGTCCACGTCCAGGTCCTCGTCCGATACGTCCTCCAGAGTCAGCAGGTCCGCCTGAGCGCACTCCACCGTGCCGTTCCTCGTCAGCTGTGGGTGACAGTCGTGAGTGGGAGAGCGGAGCCCTATTTAAAGCTCGAGTGCAGCAGAATTATCCATCTGAAAAGTTTCCATGAAAAGGCAAGGAAATGCATTTTGTAACCAGAGCCATCGTCTGACGGGCAGCGGCTGTATAGTTGGTCTGAAGTAAGAACGGCTTGGGGAGACATGTTGTCTAAAAGGAGAGTGAGCGTGATTAAGAGAGAGAGAAGTTCAATTGAAATTACAATACAGCAAGTGTAGAGTATTTAAATTCAGCATAGATCCTTTATCTAAGTAAAGACACCAGCTACAATGTGAAAATACACGATCCAAATGGAAAGTCCTTCAATAAAATTGCACATAACTAAATATAGATAGATATAACAGACAGAATATTGGGCTGGGGTTCATAGCCAGTATTTTACTGCCAAAGCTAATTAGAGTTGTATTCATTCAATATTTCAAACTTTTTAAAAGAAACATTTGATGCGTCTTGAGATAATTAATGCTGAAGAAGACGAAACGGTTCTGCTCAGCAAATGTTTTGGGACTTCTTCTGAGGACTTTTGGGGGAGTTTTACCCATAGAAATGAAATAGGAGAAAAACGGACATTCCCATTCAGATCCACTTGGCAGGATGGTCGGAGCGGCGGCTCATTTTTTATGTGCGGCATTGCGACCGCTGTAACAGATTTCTTTTGTAAAAGTAAGACACATGTGTGGCAAGAAGCTGAGTCACTGAGGGGAGGATCTGTAGTAAGGACTACGATAGGCAGGGAGGTAACATCGTTAACCGTACAGAGGAAATGAATCAAATTTACTGGAGTAGGAAACCACATTAGATGGATAATGTACATTTAGAAAAGGAACCTGTAAGATATCATGTATAAATATTAAGTAACCTCCCACCACAGCAAATGGAGAAACAATTTGCTTTTCGAGTGAGAAGCAAATAAGTAACAAGTGAAACACGGCTCATGAAAACAAAACAAGCTGAATCTCCGTCATTCAAAGCAGAGACGCCGCCGATGACGCCCCGGCCTGCTGCGACGTACCTTCATCTTGCGGGCGTTGAGCTTCTCCTGGCGCAGGTGCTGGCGCAGCGTGTGCCGGTGGCTGGAGTCCTGTTCGCGGGCGAACTCGCCCAGCGTGTAGTGCCGGATGGAGGAGTGGTGGCGGGCCATGCCCAGAGAGCTGCCCCCCTGGCTGGGCACGCTGGTGAACCCCTGCCGCCGGGGGAAGTAGTACACCGTCACCACGTCGAAACGCACCCGCTTCCCCCCCGGTGACGGCTTGTGCTGGCGGAGGATGGAGGTGGCTGGAGTTGGGAAAAGGTGTGGGGCGGGGGGCATTTGGGCTGCAATGTTACACACGAGTAATCGACACAAACTCATACTAATGAATGGTCCGAGTGGGGTTTTTAAGAGTGTATTGCCTTTAACGTTTGTCTCCTGCTGTTCCTTACGGGTAAATGCAGTGCTGGAAGGCGGGTTGAGGCTGTCGCAGCTGTCGGCGCTGTCGCTGCTGGAGATGTCATCGTCGGAGTCTTTAGGTGTGGAGAATGGAGAGTTGTTGTCCACCTCTTCATATCTTCGTTTGAGGCTGAGGGACGAACCTGCCTCCATGGAGACGTGTTGTCTGAGGGCACGGAGGCACGGGCGGATTACTGAGCGGGCCTACCGGGTACAGGCCCCAGGGGCTCAGGGTGTCACCGCCCCCCCACCCACCCACCCACATCTCCTGCCTGGACCCAAAAGTATCCCTCAAAGAGACACGTATTATTCGCCAGGAGGAGAATCAAAGGAACTCACAAGGATAATCGCGACAAATAATAACAAGGGATGGAAAAATCACAAAAAAATAAATGACTAGATACACAAAATGACCACAAAAAGAAGATGTCTGTATGTCTTGCTCCATTGTAGGAGAGGGGAGAGGGGGGGGGGGGGGCTTTAGCAGGTATGCGCTTAGAGGCCCTTTGAATAATAATCCACCTACACAGAGGAGCACAAAGGCAAGAACACTCGTTCTTTAGTAAATGAGAACCAAAAGATGTGGGAAAAGTGCCGCTCGTGGTGGATGATTCAAAACCCTTTGATCAATGAGCGGGAGAGTGCGTCTTATTTGTTGGTGTCTTATAGTATTCACTAAATGAACGGCTTAAAGACAAACTGTTCCCGCGTCAGGAAGAAAAACAAACCGGTAACATCCGCGGTTTTGTCTCCTTTCATCTGTCATCTGTATTTCAGCTCCATCATTTCCTCCCCCCCTCCTCTCCTCCTCTCCCCCCATCTCACATGAAATGCTTTGAAATCATGAAGTCTAGAAACGTCCCCATGGCAACTAGGAAAGCATGGTTAATGCACAGAGCACTGAAGCGAATGATCTTGATGCCTTCTAACTCTTTTTTTAAAATTTTGCATATAGATCTGCTATAAACAACGCGGAGGGGGTCGACACCATTGAATCGGTGGAGGTCAATCAAGGTTAATGTTATATTTTGGTCTGTGTTGAAACTACATTTCACCAAGTGATTTCAATCCAAATAAATGAAAAATCATGCCGACATTCCACAAAGACAGCGTGCTCAAGATCAGCTGGTCATATTATCCCTTAATACAGGTAATTACTGGTTTACTTTGCAACTCTACGTCTCTATGAGGCCCTTTTTTAACTGGGTCTGGGTTAACATGTCACATGCTTCTGACAGCCGAGTGCTGCATCTTCACTCATTATTAGGACGACTCCAAATAAGGCATTTCTTTTCAAGTTCTCAAAGGAAAAAAAACCCCAGCCCTAAAAGGACTAATGAGCATTCCACAATCGTACAGCATAGTTTGTCTTCAAGCTTAATAGAGAAACAACGGTGAGCTGCTCCGAGTACAGTGAACAATGATCCGACTGCAGCCGGAGTCATTTTGCTGAGACGTGTGAACAAGTGAAAGAAAATAGGATGCAATGTCTCAAACTAAGACGATGACACCATGTTTTAATCCATGCCTTGGAGCATAATGGATGGATGCTGTAGCTGTAATCATTTAAACTGCAGTCAAATTCAGATTTGAATGTGGATTTCTCATCTATGTTGCAATTTGGAATAGTATTATTTTTTTAAAATCTTCATCTGTTGTATTTAATTCATCTGAAGGGGCTGCAACGTCTTCACGTGTTCGGCCGAGATGCTCCTACGCTTAAAGCCAGAATGTGAACCACGTTCCACATGGGGACCCCCAGCATGAATGGGGCAAATAGAGCACAGGCTGAATTTTGATGGCAGGCTCAATTCCCTGGTGGAGATCCGGCTCACCCTGCTGCTGCTGCTCTAAAAGGAAGGAGTTGAATAGAATCACTGTGACTTCTTAGCACGTTGTTCACCTTCAGAGCTGGTGGGTATTTAACTGTGTGCATGCAGCGAATGACTGTTGGATGGGGGGGGGGAGAGGTATCCGAGTAATAGGCAACAGCTCAACCGCCCTCTCTCCAGTTTACCAGTTACCCACACACACACACACGAAATACTAAACTCTCTTACCTGGGATACAAACAGGGACCCTTGTTCCAACCAACTCGTAGTGGGTCGTCTCCTCGTCTCCCTTTCCAAAATGTTGGCTGCACATCAATCTTTTAACGCCCTATGAGTTGCTTTTTGCTGGTGTTGGGGTTTGGCCGCGGTGCAAATGGAAACAAAGTAAATGTGGCCGAAATCGACTTGTCAAATTTTTTTTTGCGACACTTGAACGTGTCTGCGCCGGGCTACTTGTGCTCCGTGCTCATTGTTCTGCACACTGATCTGTCGCGGGTTGGTGGTCGGTGTTCGGGGGTGGGGGGGCGGTCAGAGAGCCGGAGAGCTGTGTGGTAGACCTGTGTGGCTTTATTTAAAAATGTTGCATGTCTTTCTGTTTAGAAGAAAACGGGCAGGCTGCAGAAAGAGGGAACGTCATAGGATCGGCTGCGATTTACTTCCAGACATTTTGGGTGCAACGTGAATAATTTAAGTAAGCCGAATCTCTTATCTTCCTGATGTAGTATAAAAAAAATTGCTTGCGATGGAGAAATCCGCTGACATCTGTGTTCGTTTATCCTTCTTTCTCGCCGGGGCGGGTTCAGTCGGCGGTGCTCGTTTCGTTGTTGTCTCGCATTTTACGCGGAATTTGGCCGCTTGTTTCCCTTCAGATTGGTGTCAAAATGTTGCAACGAGAAGACGCCTTTCTCCCCGTTTCGCCGTCGGCCCGGCCCCGTTTGTTACCATGTAACAATGGAGGAAGAAATCCTTCCCTGTAACCGTATATATACTTATTGTGACATCACCGGCATGCCGTGCACCGGGGCATGCTGGGAAATGGAGTCATTTTTCCTTCCCTTTCTTTGTTCAAAATGCGAAGGCGTCTTGATGCGGATGACATGCAACATGAACCAGACTCACTGTGATTTGCAGTGTAGAATATTACTGTAGTGTCAAAGCTACAGTACGTCCCCACATATGTCCATCAAAAGGGAAAGATAATAATGTTTCTTTCCCAGGTGAGCTTAATAACATTTGCAATATTTATCCAAAAATGAATAAAAATCTAATTTTTTATTCTTTGCAAACACCTCAAGGACACAGACAACAGATAGTGGCCAGTTCACAGGTACGCATTTTAATAATGCTGAGAACACCGGGTCTAAAATGTCAAGCAGGACAATGGACTGACTGAACATAAACTAACCATATCTTTTCACATGCAGACTGATGTGACCGATTACACAAATTAGTACTTTGCTGTGGTGATATCCAAAAACAATAATGTTAAGCGTGTTGTTTTCTCAACCTACCAAAGAAACACTTGATTCCATATGAAACAATTTCTTTTAAAATAGTGACCTATTTACATAATACATACATAATAAAAACACATGGAGGAGGTGTAGCCACTGAGATCACACACACAGCCACTGCTTCATCATCATCATCATCGGTACCAACTGCCAGTGCCAGAATGAGCTCTACACCAAAACTACAAGGATTTAACCGTGTTTGGGAGTCTGGAAAAAAGAAAGAAGCATTTCCTTCCTCAAAAGTGACATTGCAATCCAGTGAAAGACCAACATTATTCCCTTTTTTAAAAGGAATCACAGATGTAATTGAGGACAGCTGGATACCAACAAACCCGATTTGAGGCCTCTCGTGGTGCTTTGATGGGGCTGTGCGATTGTGTTTGCCATACCGTGTTTCTCCTCAGACTGGCTTCAATGGGCCAAAACAGGAGCAGAAATCAGACCGTATTGACAGCTGAACAAGTACTGTCAGAGTAACCGTCTTTCTTTTTTTTTTGTCCGCTGCGATTATTACTTTCTTTGCATATTTGGTGTTCAAAGAGAGGACAAAATGTTTCTGAAGCGCATAGCTTTGGTAGACCAGATGCTCAGCTAACAAACAAACAAACAGGGGCCGCAGCCGTAGGCCTCCTTCACCAGACAAGAGCAACCAAGGAGAATGCAACCACTTAAGGGACACAATGGTGACGGTCACTACCTCAAACGTAAGACAATAAGGTAGAGTAAGGAGAGGGCCGGGTGCGTCAGTCTCTTAATCGTCCTCGCAGCCTCAAGACGGTACTGGCGGGCGCCTCCACATATTCCAGGAAGAATATGAAGCTCTACGGGGGCTGACTGGATCGAGTCTAAAAGAAGAAAACGACGCTATTCTCCCGCGCGGAATTCACTTCAAGATGATGTGGTAGCCGTCATTTGTGTCATCTGGGAAGGAAAAGGAAAAACATAGTCGGGGGAGGGCGTTATAAATAAACCTGCATTTATAACATCAAGGCATCACGTTAAATATAGAAAACACGTTAATGCCACACTCAACTACCTTTCATTGTGTCCAAAACAAAACATACTTCATCCTGGTAGTTCTGAATCATCTGTTAGAAAGAGAGCAAATGTTTCATGTTTTGCATCATCGATGACTAAAAGGAACTCTGGGCACAGTTGAACTGGATTCCCGAAGGTAAAGTGGCTTTTATGTCGCTTAGCGGCATCTGAAAGCACCATGGCGACACGACACCCGGCGTGGTTGGGAAACTCGGGAGGCCGGGTTCAATGACAATCGGACAGGTCTAATTTTCATTTCTGGAATCCTGGTGTATACCCAACTTACAGAAAGGATCGCTTACCTCGTCACTGACCAGCACGTGGATGCCTGTGGGACCCTGTTTGAAGATCTGATTTATTTGCCTGGGTGAGATGTTGAAGAGCTGAGCAAGCTTCTCTGTCAGCTCAGCAGCTGTGAGCTCCTCCAGGTAAATGGCGTGATATACTGCAGAGAAAGAGTACAAAGACACACAATTCCATTCCTATTTGTTTGCGATATAAAATAGACAATATTAATCAAAAAGATTTTAGGTTGGCAGCCCTTCAGAATAGTTACATTATCAGTAGTATAGTTATAATAGAGATACAGTGAACTCTTCTACATGTGTAAGAATGTTGCCTCTAGCAGCCGGCGCCACGTTCAAAGCCTCATAGAGCGTTGTCTACAGTATTCTGTCTAACGTGGTTATTTTTATTTCTTAGGATATTGCATCTTATTACTAAATTATGGAACTTATGATGGCAGATATTTCTATTCCACAGTCCCGGCTGGCTAAATGGCCCCCATGAGGCGGATTACAGGCAAATAAGAAATGTCATGTCACATTTGCTGCCAGACGTCAGATTGATATTAATCTTCTCAAACTCTCATAACAGTTGGGAAGGAAAGAATGAAAAATGATGAAGCAATTACTGCACAATTATTCCGATGTTTAACATTTTGACGTGGTGCCGTGAGTGTGCACTGACCAAAGAAGGTGTTCGCGGCAGCATCTCCATTTTCGTGTTTCGGTTGCTGCTCCCTCGGCTGCTGAGACTCCTGGCAAACGTAGATGGTCAGCCTCGGGCGCACCACCCTGCCAACAGCGCCCGCAGAGAGAAAAGACGACATGCCCTTCACTATGGATGTACTGGGGCGTTGACGTATTGCACGATGGGATCGGATTGACAGGAGACCCACCGTCCCTTCAGCGCATTGAAGAGTCTTATACCGTCTGCTGGTCCACAGATCTGAATGACGTCCTCCCTGGTCAGCTTCAACAGATCTGCCCCTGGTACAAGAAAACAAGACCTCGCTGAAGAGCGTAACCCCCTTTCCTCGACAACAGCGCTCACCAGACCAATGTCCACATAGCCCCCGGCTTTGCAAAATGTAAAGCAAGTGCACAGAATATGTAACACGGTTGGCTTCATGTATATATATCTATGGATTAATTCACGCAGATGCAGTGAAGGTCTCGTGGATGATGTAATTATCCGTGTGTTTTCCTTGTTGTCGAGTTCCTATGAGATGATAATTAAGGGATCATTTAACAAGGCTCTCCAAAAAGTGAGACCGAAGGAGCTCTGTATTTCTCCTTGTGCATGTTCTACCTCATGCAGCTGTGGCTCGAGAGTTGAAGAAGACATTACTGAATTGTGTCATGTTGCTACAGAAATATGAAAACGTCCTTTGTTAGATTTGCTAGTCTGTATTGAAAAGCGGCGCTACCTGAGAAGTTGGTGAAGAGCCGGCAGTAGGGGGAGAAGCGGTTTCTTAAAAGCCACTGTTGTGCGTCTTGTGGTGTTGCTGTGGGTAACAAATTCTGAGGAGGAATAATGAAACAGAAAGCCGAATTGGTCTTGAACAGAGTCACGTCTTCTCAGAGAGTCACGTATGAAATCACAGGGACTAAACAAAATTAAACTCATGGCATGTTTGTACGAACAAAGTATAATGTAAATATTCCAGCACCCCTTAATTCATTTTATACATCGTAACAGTTACTGACTGTCCTCGCCACGCTTCCAGACCATATTTGGATCTTATTTTTTTTTCAAGATTTTGTCCTTTAACCTAAAACATACACGGCCAGCGTTTCCTTACGGTGTCACTACATATGCAAAATTGCATCACGCATATCAGACTATAAATCAGAATTAGTTTTGTCCTATAGAAAAGTACCCCGATAGGTTTGATGCAAGTGCTGAATCAAGTGTTTAAAGATTTTTTGAAATCACTCGATGAGAGACACCACCTAGTTCTCAACACGCGCATGGTCTATGACAACTTTTACAACATCACCAAAGATACATTTAATCGAGCCGTTAAAACCTTGACTGGCAGGACTGGGAGTCCAAACACTGAAATACTGCCAACATTGTCATGATTGAACAAGTTTATGAGAGGTCAGTCCTTCTTTAGTCAGAATTAAATTGACTGTGAGTGAGAAGTGACTTATCTCCCCTTTGAAGTCCAAAACCTGCTTCCTGCTGGCCTCATGTTTTTGGGTTATCATTACTATCCTCACATCTTGCGGAGGGTTAGGGCTTTGATTATGTTATTCGAAGTTGATATGCAGTGGTTCAGGGAGTGAAAAATACACTTGTTCTTACATCTGCCACCTGAACGACCGGCTCAGGCTGATGGTTTGGTGATCCGTTTCTGAAAAGGAAGAAAAATGTACCACTTTAGCGCAATGGCAATATTTAGAATTCCAGATTAAGCCGAATCTAAAACATCACGTGTGCTCCTCACCAACCGAAACACCCTAAACTAATACATGGATTAAACGGTGGAGTCAATTCAAGCGGCATTCGTCGTGATGGTTTCACAGACGTAGTGAAACACTCGTACCCTTCTGGCACGGGGAAGCTATTGGGTGTGCTGTTGAAGCCAGGCGATGGGGAGTTGCCGACGTACGTGACCTCAGGCCAGGGACAGCACTGCAAGAGAATGACATTTTAGTTATTGTTGTTGCATCCAAATGACGCGGATATACTTCTGCTGCTACCAGTTACAAGCTGCCGCTTTCCCGACAATTAAAAAAAAAAAGAAGGTAAAATGAGAACTTTTCTTTTCATCTCCTGCTGATTTTGGCTTTTCCCTGTGGGGAACCCTGATGGTGTTTCCGGGTGTCAGAGTCCCTTTAGAAGACCTCATATTTTACAGCAGCAGGGTCTGTTCATGTCATTGACCTTCTTATGGTTTCATTTTGGTGACTTCTCTTTATCCGATCATATGACTTTAAATACATTACCAATGCGCTCACCTCAGTCAGGATGGTGGTTTCGTAGGAGGGCTGATACTTCTCCTTTTCCTGCGGCGTCCTCTTCTCCATCTTCTCCCTGTCAGTCTTCTGCTTTCTGTCTGCACCTTTGGGCTGAAAAGTGTCACATGAGAGTCATTTGGGTCATTGATAACAAACTATTGGAATTGTGGCCTCGCTCTCACCTTGAAGACTTTGAACTGGCAGGAGGCCGAGTGCAGGTGCTCTGTGTACTCTTCATTCTCATTCTCTTTAAAAGTGTCTATCTGGATTCGGAAAGGGACACCCTTTTCCCCTCCGTGCTTGCGCATGGTAAATTCTGTGCTAATGCAGTGTACCTTAGGAGGAAATCAATATAAAATGTAAATCAGTACAGGAATGTGGGTGTTAAAAAACACATAAAACACAGGTAAGTTATATTAAACTAAAGCTAAACATGAAAAACTGTATTAGTAATTACTGCCTTTATTTGTGCAAAATGTCAAGTAATCGGAGTGAGCACACTAACTGTTAACAAGCTTAGCTCTGTGATGCCAAAGTGGGGAGAAATGCCTCCGACTACTGAGGTTGTCTTTCAATGAATGAAAGTAATTAAAGCAAAACAGAAGTGTGGTCCGTCATGCTACCTGGATAAAAACGGAGGTTCTTTTTGAAGGGTCCCAAAGGAACTCCACAGTGTTAAGTTGAGTAGGGTTAGCCCGGGGGTCGATTATGCCGACGGACATGGGGATATCTGCAACACAAAACAGGCCGTTATCAGAGGAGTTCTCGCTGCACACCATCTGCTCCATAATACTGCCGGCCTCTAATAACACTGCACTCATAAATGAGCCCAACATCTTGATGTTGGCCTAAAACTACTGGACTGTTAACGATGCATACAAGGCTGCACAGCAACAAATCTATGCACACACAAGTCCAATATATATTAGATGAGAACCACACCCTCTCGGAGCCATCAAAGTAGACATGCATTGTTCATTTGGTGCTCACCCAGGTCCAGGATGCGATCCCCGGGCCTGTTCCAGCGCCAGCCCTCCAGCTGCTGGTGCTCGGTGTACTGAAGCCGTCTGTCATGAAACACCACACGGATGATGCTCTGAGATTTAATGAGATTTGTTTTTAGAAAGCGTTAGGCAGCTCATGTTAATGCTATTGTGACAAATATGTGAAGCCCTGTGCTAAGTTATGCATGCGGGTTTATGACCTGATCATACCTTTGCCATTTTATCGTTGATTTCCGGGAGTTCTCCAATTTTCCGATTGTCAAGCATTCTAATTTCATAGGACTGCCCTGCAGTGACACATCCGTATAGGGAAGAAACAGTTGAAGTCCAACCATTGAAGCTGGACTAATTATAATAATGCATTATTTATAAAGAGTTCTCGATTATTATGCAAAATGATTATGTATTATTCATAATAATATATAATAATTGATTGTGATAATTATATATCTCACTTATTTCGCAAAAAGTAATAATGGTAAAGTCCGTCGCCGATGGTAGCAGCATGACGAAGGGCAATAAACAAGATAATCATGATTTCATATCATATCATAAAAAACGGTAAATTACTTTTAAAATTTCAGTGTAAAACTACCAAACAGGGTGAATTGCCAGACAGATTGCATCAATGATGGTGCCACTATATCAAAAACAGACTACTTTGTAAAATGTTTTCATGATTTTTTCCCCTCCACTTCCAAGTTCTTTTTTTTTTTTACAAATGTGTCCATGTTGATATACAGTCTACCAGGTAATAGAATATCTGGAAATGTCAACAGTTCACATAGAAGCATTTGCGGGCGCTGATAGCACCATGAATTGTGCATAATTTGCTATCCTAATTTAATAAAATAAAGGTAAACATGTGCATAAAGCCGAGTGAGTCGGCTCATAAGGAGCTGGCTCTTGTCGGACTCACACTTTTTTCATTATGCAAGACATGTGCGCTCAGAGGACACCATCCATTTTTATATGAGGAAAATATGAATTTCATTCTCCTTGTTCAAGAGATTTGTGATTACTAAGTATAATGCCTGCAGAGATCCCACTGCAGCAGCAACGTTAAGCTAGTAACCAGTATGCATTTAGGCACAAGGCAGTTGCTAATAGGGACAGTTTTGTCATATTTGTACATGTGTAGCAGCAAAAGCTGTGCCACCTTTTTGTGAATTAGCCCTTAAAATGGCTCTTTTGGTTGATACATCTACATAAATATGACAAAGTGAAGTGTGTCATGGATCGCGATGCTGACCTTGGTTGAGGTAGGTGAGTGTTTCATCATGCAGTTTAACAGCTGGCGAAGTAGCTGCACACAGAACATACTGAAAGGGAAGGATCTTGTTCTCGTTGTCTGGAGGCAGGTTGGACTCCTCCTGTTTGAAGATGGGGAGGGCGAGCACATCGCTGGAGAACAGAGACCAAGAACCAAGCTGTTAGTGAGTTGCCAGAGTCCGATCCACCCCCCCATAATAAAGTATACAGAAGATTCATTTTGCTTTTGGATTGTAAGGACAGAAAATAATCCATATCATATCATAAAAAAAAAATAATATTGAGTCAAATGAAGTCTTAGAACTATTGGGTACTATATATTATTGGGTTCTTCCGCTTCGCAGTTCATTAATTATATTGGAGGCAACAAAGGTGCCAACACCACTAAATACCAAGTCTGTCTCCCAAACCCCCTCGACAAAAGAATTTCAGGAACAGACGTACACTTTGCAGCATGTATGGCCTCATTTAACAGAGCACTTAACCAGCAAAGAAAGGTCACAAACAAGAGAGATCTTTCTCCAGTAAAGCACTTGAGTCAGCAAAAGCTAAATGTCTCTCACATAATTGCAATTCAGCCAAAGCGTCATAAATATCTACTTTTTTTAGACATTAAACTCTTGAAAAGTACCCCAAAAATATCTGCATTGTGTTACGAGAAGTCGAATACCCAACTCAAGATTCACCAACGAGTAATCGTTCTCCGATAGTCACCAAGCTCTGCGCTTCATCTGCATGTTTTGATTAATATTCCATTCAGTGATCACTAAGTACAGGACTTCACATCAGATAGTTACGATACAGAACATAGAAACAGAGATGTCAGAAAGACGAATAATTGACGAGAAATATTTTACAGCTTCTGGCTAAGAAAAATCCATTCAACCCTGGCGACGGGTTCTGAGGTTAAGTAGGTTAAAAGGGCCCTTCTGCTCCGAGTGTGCGTGTTCTTGAGAGCCTTCAAAGCAGCAGCAGACTCTTTGTTATGCTTCCTTCCACTTCCAAAGGAAAAAGTGAAAGGGGTCTGACTACTTAACATTGACACACACAAAAAGTTGAATTCCTTATCTTAGAAATATATCAAATATCTTTATATCTAAATATATATGCGTATTCTCTGCACATGAAAAGCTTTTGAAAATAACTGAAAAAATAAATACAAGAAGCAAACTACAAAGCCCAAATACATTGCAAAAGCTCTAAAAATATGAAAGTGAAATAATCACAACTGACCTAAATTTGATGATGGTGGTAAAGTTCCACACACTTGAGAAAGTGATGACAGAAGGAGGATTCACTTTGGCGATTTCCATTTGTTAACCAAATGGCTCACAAATCAAACCAAATTACACTTTCTGCTTTTCGGTTGTTGTTGTTGTTGTTGAGGATCAACGTGCAGCACCACTAATGTCCAACGGCAGACGTTAAAGAACTGGGATCAACACGTCCACGCTCGTACAGTACCTCATGCTGTATGCCCCAGCACCGAGCTCCTGGCCAATGCCCGACAGACTGGCATCGAAGTCCTGCACCAGTCCGGACTCGATCACTTCATCCGTGAGCGGCAACTTCAGAGCCCACGCCATGGTGACGATCAGCAGGTCTCTCGGGAGTGCGCTTATGTTTACAGCTTACGACACGTTTCCAATCTTCAGTGGAGATGGTGAAAATATTTAAAGTTTATTGTTCATTGAATGAGGGTCGGTAAGCAGAGAAATGTGCGTGACGTTTGTGTTCGTTAGAAGAACGCGATATCAACAGGAATTAACCATTCACTGATGCCCGTCCAAAGTATAGTTCTACTATTTACTTTAATAACGTAATTAAATCAAAAAGAGGCAACCCATACCTTTTAGTGAGAGGATGGCTACTTGCTAACACTGCGACGGTTTCATGCCATCATGTCGTGCTCCTTCGACCCAGCACTAAAATAAACATGACGAGCTAACCGCGTCCAGCTGCATAGCCTCACTGCTAACTTAGCGAGAATATTGCTAGCCCTTCTTTGCCTCACTTACTAGGGATTCACGGGGAAACGTTGTTCCTGGTATACATGTCTATACATAGATACGTGTCGGAATTAGCTCAGAATCCGAGGTTTATGTCTTAAAATGTATTGATTTTGTTTGTTTATCTAGCATCGTTAGGGAACATCGGCCGCCGTAATTTCCGTTTCTCACTCTTCTTCGTGTCATTTCAGTGGTAGCCGAGAGGGTTGCTGCTCTTTACCGCCGCCCTTCGCTGGTGGTTGGAGAAGGGAGTGTCCTGCTTTTAGAAGGGGCGTTTTGTTAAAATCCAAACCATATTTTAAGTTAATTTTTTTATGTCGGTTAGGGTTCACTGTCAACTACAACCATTACAATAAATCAATACACAACAAAAAAACAAGTAGGGATTAATAAAACCAGGGTTTATTTGTCTGACAGAAAATGACAAAAACATCCAGCTCCACTTTTTCTCTTTTCTCGCAAAGACCCAAACTCTGTAAATTAGCTCTTCTTTTCTCTAGTGATAACTTAGTATATTAAACAACATTATACATTGTCCTCCCATATTGAACAGAAGGAAAAACACATATTAGAGCAAGAACTTTGTAATATTTATAATTTTGAATGTTTATGCATCATGTATGTCCATTGCAAAATAGGCCCATTTGTTTAAAATTGTTCCAAAAAAAAATGCACCATTGAATATAAAAATGGGACCAATGCATATTAGCTTGTACATTTAAATTGCAGTATTTTAAATTTCTTAATAAAATTACATCAATGTAAGGGATAGATGTTGATTTTTAGTTGAATGAATGCAGTTTTGCTAATACTGCTACATTTTGCAAAGCAAAGATTCAACAACATTAAAAAGTGGAAAATAAATTCTCCCATATTCATAAAAACTTAACCTGTATGTACTACGCTGTACATAAACCATTAGTATCCCTTTTAATGTCCCTACTGTCACTAAAGTGCAAAGAATTTTTTGAAGTATTAGCATTGGCACTCTCCTTATTCATGCAGATTGAAGGTCATCATAACATAAAACCTTTGTCTTGGCTAAACAGATAATTGCATTTTTTTAAATTAATATTGGGGTTAGTAGGAATATTTAAAAACCTGTTGCTAATGTTTCTGGCCAATGCCAGAATGTTTTAAACTGCCTTCATAATAGTCCAAATTGGACTTGAGATTTGAAACAAATGCTGCAGAACCACCTTCAAACCAGTGAGAGAACAGTTACAACCGTGAATGAAGAGGAAACACAAGATACTCGCAGAGTATCTTCAGCACATTAAACAAAAAGTGTAAAAAAGGGTGAATTTACACACATTCCACTCACAATTAGTAACTCTCAAATTAAACAAACATTATGAAATACAAAAAAGCAGTTTATAGTTGTGTCATAAGCAATATCTCAATCGATAATAATATTTTGATAAAAACGTGTTGTGCAAGAAACATAAAAAATTACTCTACAAATGACTACAGATGTTAAGCTCACCTTTGTGATTATCAATAAGAGATATCAAAATCATGATTGTCCCCAAAAAATGTTGGAGTTAAGGTTCCATAGATAGCAACGTCCATTTTGGCATTAATTAGACGACAATCTCTGATGGAAATAAGGTGATATGCCATTGCCTACGTTCAGTCTACAGAGGCTTGTGTTTGCAAAGCTGCTCATGTAGTACAAGTACTACTTGAATACAAAATAAACCATAATCGTGGTGACAAAAGCATGTTATTCAAATATCAGCATAAAGTCACTCCCTGTGACACAGTGACAACAATGTGACTAAAATCAATGTGACTCAATGCACTGCCACTTATTATTATTATTATTCAAAGAGAGACCTTCTATAAAATCACCTGTATAAAAGTTAAAATGTTTTTAAATATGACGTTGTTATCGCTGTATTACCATTACTATATATGATAATGGACCCATGCCGTCTGACTGAGACCCACCACACGGGAGTTGTATACACAACTAGTCTTAAAATACATTATGAACTTCTTTTTTTTAGTACTCTGTCACTACACTTGAAGTATGTGTAATTTCCTTTATTTTCTATAAAAGTACATAGTCCTTAATGGAGTTTGGCTTATAGTTACAACACAGTTCACAACTGTGTTGCCGTATTAAATGTTCAACTTCCAAAAACGCCCCATACGTCCGCGGCGAACCCCCCCAGAACGAGGTCGTTACTGGACCTGGAACACATTGATCTTGCTCGTGTTTTTCAGCGTCTGCCGTCGGTTACAGAACCACACTCGCACAACCTCGCGGTCATAGTTTAGCTCTCTCGCTATTTCGGTAATCTCTTGACCTGTTGGCAGTGCATTCTTTTCAAAGTAAGAGTTAAGAACCTCGATCGCCTGTGGTGTGAAGCTGGTACGCCGCTTGCGTTTTTTGGATGGTTCACCGCCAACAAACTCCATCAGATTCTGCTGGCCCTTCTGGTTCCAGTGCTCGGCCTCGGCCAGCCACTTCTCCAACACGGGCTTCAGCTTCTGAGCACTCTTGGGTGTGATATCCAGCTTTTCAAACCTGCATTACGAAAAGGTAAATGCAAAAGACACGTTGTATAGAACCAAGAAGCAGTTGGCAGGGAAGTGACTAAGATATCAAACTTATTTGTGATAGTAGCTTTTAACCAACCCATTGAAAAAGGTCAAAATATTTGTGCTCTTTATACAATTATGACTTCATTGCTGTACATATTAAACTATATTCACCTTGAGGTCCATTTTCCTTTCAATTCCTCTCACTACTTCACTGACGAGAATATGAGCTGATGTTTATGTCCTATTAGCATTACAATTTCAAATTGCATGAATGAATACTATCATATGTGTGCACATATCAAATGCACTGTCTACACACTTTATTAAGAGAGAAAAAAAATGAAGAAAGCTTCCAACATGAACAGGGGAGTAATTCACCTGCAAATGGCAGACTGGCTGTAGGCCGGACCCTCAGTTGCAGTAAGAGCCTGCCCTACTTGTGTCTGAGTAAGCCCCAAGGACAGCCGACGGATCTTGAAATTCTTGGCGAACTCTCGAATCTCCTCCAGATTAATGCCTTCCTCGCTGCTGACCACCTGCTGGGGTTCTACAATTGAGGTGGAATCTGGTTTAAATGACCTACCTACTTAAAACGATATATGTTTGCATATGAGAAGCAGGTGTACATACTGCTGACAAGCTGTCCCACTTTTGCTATGTCTGCACAGCTAATGGGCACTGCGGTTGAGAGCGTGGTGGAATTCCTCAGTACAGACGGCTGCGGGGCGATGACAATCGGTGACTGACACACAGTTGTTACCGAAGCCTGGGAGGGAACAAATAAATTACTGCAAACCTGCAATGATGCGAATGACAGTAAATTTGATCATTTCAATACATTAAGGAACCACAAATGAGATAACATGCAATTGTTGGTCGGTTCCAGCTTTTAAGTGTCAAGGCTGAAATGACCGTCCTTTTTGACCTTGTTACCTGTGTGATGGGTTTGGTAAATGTTGGCGGAGCAGCGGCTTTGGGCAGAACTGCAGTGGAAGTTGCAACTGCTGACCCATTCCCCACTGTGGCAATAATCTGGCCCTGGGTGTTGAGAAGCAGTTGTGGGGTAACAGTCTGGACCTGGAGGCCCTGGAGGCCTTGCAGGCCTTGCAGGCCTTGCAGACCCTGTATACCCTGCAAGCCCTGTATACCCTGTAGACCCTGTATACACTGCAGACCCTGGAGACCCTGCAGACCCTGCAGACCCTGGAGACCCTGGAGACCCTGGAGGGTGGTTGTTGCAGTCGCTCCAGCCAGAGAAGGGTTCAATAAAAGAGGGAGGGTTCCAATGACCTGTAAATATAGTTTGAATTTGTTTTAGACATTTACAAATAAAATACTGTAATAATGTCTCTTATAGTATTTGCTTACAACCTACAAAATAACAAACTACACCACTTACTCCAATGAGCTGCAACAATGGTAAGATCAATGCAGTTGTTGAGAGGGCTAATCAGTTTTCGCAGAAGTGATCTTATGCTCCTCTGACTTGATAGATTTAAGTTAACTTGAGGCTGGGTTTATTTTGAGGGAACACAACACATAGGAGTTTTGGAGAGGGTGTGATTACCAAATAATATGCATCCAAATGAAAACTGTCAGTGGCTTTGCGTTCTTGTGAAAGTCTTTGAAGGCCTGATGACTACAACAGGCCAAGAATTATGTTATTTTCTTTGTAAAAGATCCTCATATTTTCTTTAGCTGAAGGTGTAGAGAAACACTATAACTCAAATCCAAACTAAGTTGAGAAGCACTAGTGTGTGGCACACACCTGTCCTTGGGCATTTGTGATGATCTGGCTTGTGATTCCCGCCATGTTGGACATTGCATTGGTGATGATAGGAGTGGAGGTGAGGGAACTGAGGTACTGGGGCTGAGATCCCAAAGACGCCGCATTAATCTGAGCATAAATAAAGAACATGTGCAAGAAGCGCAGGACAATCAGTGCATTGCATGAATGACATCACACAACAAACAGCCAAGAAAGTACAAGTCGTTGAAGCTGTGTTCTTACAATGGCGGGATTGATGGAGAGTCCCGCGGTCTGGAGGGCCGCTAAGGATATGTTGGACTGAGAGACCGCGCTGGCGTGCGAGGCCACCTGAGCGCCGGTCACCTGTGCGTTGGTCACCTGCGTTGGATGGGACGTCACCTGCACTGGCTGTAGGGCAGCTTGGGGCTGGAACATGGTCTGAGGGCTTGTCTGCAGTTGGGGCTGGACAGAGTTCAGGACTGTCGCAGCTGAGTAAAGATTTGACACTTATTATTGTTCTGTAACGAGTCACTGTGCGACTCACGAGGAGCACGCATACAGATATAGAGTGTGTTTTACCTTGGAGGCCGGCAAAGGGCAGTTTGAGAAGGTTTCCAGCTGTGTTAGCTGCTGTGAGCCCAGAGAGAGTAGCTACGTTGGTGGTGGGGAGAGTGAGAACAGCCAGACCTCCTTGGCCCCCGATGGAACCCGCCATGCTGATGGGGATGAGCAAGGGCTGCCCCAGAGATCCTGTCTGGGCCATCATACTCGTCATCAGAGTGGCCAAACCTTCCTGGGTCAGCACCTAATGCAGTATAATAGTAAACAAATTAATATTGAACAACTATGATGAAGACTTTGTGAACACATTGAACCAAACCACACAAATGCTTGGGTTGTTACAAGAAAATCAAACCATTCCTGAGCTGGTAAAAGTTCTGTTCTTTGTGAGGATTTGGGTTCGGATAACCCCTGATCATGTCTTGTTTTATACCTGGAACACAAAGAACTGTGCATGCAGGAGACCAATAGTTGGTCAACACTCTACTAGCTGGTTTTGGGCAAAGTATAAACGGGACAGACAACAAAACAAATCTATTGACTCCACCATTCCTTCACTGACGAGTGGGTGTGTAAAATACCTGTGGACATCCTTGTACAGCGATGGGCATGGCGGCCTGGGGCTGCATCAGCGGCAGACTGACGGGCACAGAGGGGGTCAGCGTTTGGACAGCAGGTGCAGGAACCTCAACAGACACCACCTGCTGCTCGCCCAGCACTGCAGGAGCAAAGCCAGGGTCGGTTCCTACTGACATTTGAACGGCTGTTATTAACATTTTAAACTGTGCCATGTATGTATGAATAACGAGTCATCTGCCATCAATCTTCGTCCGCCGCCACCGTGACTTACCCGCCGCCCTGGTGCTCAGGGTCACATCAGGGTCGTCGTGTGTGCCGCCGTCCTCCGTTTGCTCTGCAGGTCGAGCCGATCCCTCCTCAGCTTTGACTTCAATCTTCCCATCGGGTAATGACGATGGCAGAGGTGCATCGACCTCTACCTCCAGTACACGAATGGTCTCATGGCTTGACATCACAATGACCTGCGCAGCAATTAGGAGAAAAATATGAGATGAGCCAAGTGCTAAGCTACTGTATTAGACTTATTTTGATCGGGGTTCTACTGAATTTATAGTGGATTTGTTACAAGTGTGTTAGCAGTTTGTGAAACCCTTATGTAAAGAAACAATTGTAATATGGTCAAATCAAACCCTAACTTGATCTAACTGATGATTCCTGGTATGCAACCATGAAAGAACTAGAGGAGAGGCAGCAAGACAACCTGGTCTGGAGGACAAGGTGCAGAGACACAATGCAGGTAGAGAAGAGGAGGATGCATACCTGGTAGTTTTTGCAGGGAATTTCAAAGTGCAGGATTTAAATGGCTGAAAAAAGACTTCTGCAGTCAGACAGTGAATGGCTAAGGAGAACAGAGAAGCCGAGCACATGTTAGGACACAATGACACCAAAACAAAACATAACACACACTGGGGGGCACAAATGTAAAGAGCATGAGTACACGACAAGCAATGATAAGAGCATCAGCCAACAAGCAGCTCAAGCAATGCTTTCCTCAAGCTCAGCGAAGGGCATTGCTATTGTCTGCTCCATGGAGAAAACCCACAAGTCATTTTTAAGCATGGCAGTTTAAAGACCAGGAACCCTCACAAGTACAGAGCAGCAGGCATTATTAGGTGATAAAACCCACTCAGATGAACCAATCGCCCCTTTGTGACATAAAAAGCAGCACTGCCACATGGAGGGGTGACGGGAGCAAAACGGCAGCTAAGAACTGGAAGGCGACATAAGTCTGAGAGGAGTGTCTGAGAGGGGCTTCCGGGGGGAAGAGAATGCTGTTGGTCGTGTTTTGACAGACAGGTGAATGTTACCTGCTCGTTGACTGTAAGCGGGGCATCTTTGGCAGGGGCATCCTGGGAGTTCATGGCTCGCTGCACCACCGCAGTCACAGTCTCCCTGACATTCTGGATAAACAAAAAGGTGATTACACTAAAAAAATACAACTACCAAGGGCACTGGATCCGTCAGTTTGGTTGTGTGTTTTACCATTGCTACACTGATAAAACTATACTTGTCTATCGGTCTGGTGACCTCTCAACCTTAAGTGCTCTGTACAAGTGTCTCGCCGAGATTAGTTCAAGGATGTCTCTAAATTCCCCTTTTATTAAATCACACAGACTGTGTGGGTTCAGTTTCTTTCCCCAGACAACGTCTCTACTAACAATCCTTCAAACCCCCCCTCGATCGGCCACTAATAGAACATTGTTTGTCAAGACAGTTATTCAGGCCTTCTACTTTCCCCTGGAGTATATTGCAAAGATATTCCCACTGCTATCTTTTAAGTAGTTTGCAATGTTGATTTATGCTATTTTATCCTGCAGCTAAAACTACTCTGATGTTCTTTATTCCTGCCTAAGCCGAGATGCTGATACCCGCTTACAGTTGGTCCTGCAAGGCTTATCACTAAGACCTCATATTGCTCTCACATGTCCTCTGTTAGGTTGTGACTTCTTTGGCTTCTGATTCAATTTAGCATTCAATTAAAGTACAAGTTAATTTGTCCCCCTGGGGAAGTTGTTTTTCTGCCACAATGTCAATTACAAATACAATGAAGTGCAAGTGATGTGCAAGACGATTTTAAAAAGCATTTTTGAACCAAAAGGCATGTTTGGAGATGTGGGGATGCTTCCTTTACTTTATTACGTTGAGCAGTGAAATGGCAAAAGATATAGAAGAGAAAATATATAAATGTCAATGTTGGCAAATGGTTTTCCGAGGCGGTAACCAAAGAGCGGTAATGTCGAGAAGATTTGTCTTACAGTACAGATAGATTTTTTTATGCTGAGTGCCAAACATTTAGAGACACTCCTGGAGATCTTACTCTTCATCCACTAGGCTTTGGACAATCTTATTCCGGAGTACGACGGTGATAATTCAGTTCATTTCTGCTCAGCCTCTCGGTGCCCCGAATAAAGCCCAACAGCTGTAACTCGGTCCAGGCTGAAGACACAAGAGGGGGACTGTGCGTTCGCTGTCCTGAGACTCAGAGCAGATCTGTGTCAGATTTGTCTGATTTTTATTGGGTGCGTGTTGAACCCTGTTTTGAACTTCGGTGCTTCTATTGTTTTTGTTGTTGGGGGTCATATTTTGTTGTTCTAATCCTTTATCGGACACTACAACCTAGCTTATAAAAGGTGATATTTCACTTACCACAAAACCCACACATTCAAATGTTTTGCAGCCGTTAGACAAATAAATATTAAGTTTCTCTGACCGCCTATTGACCCCCACGACCTCAGATTTAGGGGCAAATCCTCGTAAAAAAACAACAACCAAACAAACCCACATGCGAAGGAGAGAAATCATGGGTCTGTCTGTCATTGCAGGAGACTGTTTGGAGCACGAGCAGTGTTGTGTTGCACTTCAACTGCGCAAAAACGGGAAGAAACCCGCCGATCACCGAGGAGTAAATACGTTTCCATCGCAGATGAGTAAAAAAAAAAAAAAGGTGGTGCATATCCTGCTGCAATGCCCTGTTAGAAACGGGCATCTGTCAAAAACTTCAGCGGGTGTTGCTGAGCTCCCCACCCCCAACCCGGGCCGGTAAAAGTCACGCCGCGGCGGCCACTTCTGGAGACGAGCACGAACCACGAAGAGCAGGCGGAAGACGCCACCTCTACCCGTGCCCAGAGACCGAATATTATGTATTTCCCCTCTCTTTATCATAAATATATAAATTATGCTAATTACGAGCATTGCATATTAACCAAAATACTCATTTCCTCTCGCCATTTCGCCGCTGTGCGCGCGAGGAGCGGGCTCGAATAGACTCCGGTTATCGGGTTCAACTTACCGCGGTAACGCAGCTTGTTTTCTGTAATCCCCCGCTTTTTTTTTTATAAAAGGTCCTGGTCACAGTTTGTTTCAGTCGCACATAATTAAAAATTCACCTCAGCTCCCAGACGGGCGCTGTGACTGCACACAAAAGAGGCATTTGCATTGATAAGGAGGGTTGCAACGTTGGGATCTCCTCCTGCCTTAATATTTAATGACGAGGCCTCCTCTGCAACAGCTTAGATAATCAAAAAAAACCTTGAGGTGGCTCGCGAAATCGTATCTGAGCTGTAAAGTCGGACTAAATTGCAACAAAATTGGCCTTTAGCACTACGTCATGAACATAATTTATGCACGGAAAAATCTCGCATTGAAAAATGTCTGCCTCGTCCTGCGAGGTGCCGTCGTTCTCTTAAAGGGGACGTACCGAATAAAAGCGATGAAACGGTGGAATCATGGTGTCACACACCAAGAGTGGCCTATGTTTAACTCAACATATTAGTGACTAGAGCACTTAAATTATACAGCTGTATGTTTGGAAAATAACGTCATTGTCTTGATGAGATATGGATATCAATACACGACAGGAAGCACACACAAAAAAGAATCGAATCAATCCGTAGACAACAATATAGTTCACCATACAATCCCCCCCCAAAAAACACACTTGTCTGGGTATTGTGTTTGCTCGCTAAATGTCACACCGCCAATGGCATATGGGGACACCTAAATAAATATATAAATGAAGGTGTGCTTTTTCCACTGTGACAAATCAAGACGTATGACACAGGCCTTTTGTGTGTGGTTAACACAGACAGTTTGCTGCAATTCCAAGACAGAAATATAGTTACTCATCAAAACAAGACAATATGTTTACCATACAGAATATCAGGCACTGACCTTATTTTCACCTGTAGCTAAATTTCTAATAATTGTTTTGTATTCCTATTATTAAATTTAAATATCTACCATATCTCAAACATGCTGGTTTGTTTTATCAGTCATGTCTTACCTGGCTGTTGTGAAACTGCTATACATCTATTTCTCCACCAGTGTGTCGATCTATCTGTTTAGATATCAACCGGTATATTTTCTTTAGCTTCCAAACTCAATAAGATTATTTTGTCTTCTCAAGCAAGACATCAGATCCCCATTTTAGTCCCTCTCCAAATCCCCGTAGTATATTTCCTGTCTGTAGGGGGCGCGCGCCCTCAGAGCACCGAGTGCGTCGAACCACAGATAGAGAACGGCTGACGTCACCACTTCCACAACAACAAGAAGCTGAAAAACAAGGAAGTGAATGATTGTGAAGCCGTAACCTGTTTCTAAGGCCGTGACAAGATACACCGAGCTCCGTTTAACCTGAAATTCCCCAGTCGCCGCATCAGTCCAGAACAATGAACAACAAAGGTATTTCTCCAGACCCCGTTTGGGTAATTAGTCAGCTGTCCGTTTTTACGGCGCTGACGGTTAAACCGGAGGCGAAGAGCCGTGGCCACGGCCGTCCGGAGCGGACTTCACGTTTAGCTCCGTGCGTGACGACGAACGGTCGTTATGTGGCTAACCGTCGAAGCGCGCACGTCGATCGCCGGTGTGTGTTTTATTACAAAATAGCGAAAAAATAATGACAATGGACGCCGAAAGGCACTGTCGACCTTACATCGCCGCGGCGTTAGTGACGGGCTCACGTCTTCCCGGTTAGCCACCATCACTCAACAAGCGAGCAGAATGTAACGGCAGAGCTAACGCGATTTTTACCGTTTTACTTCACATACGCGAGGGGATCCGAATCTGTATCCATCATTTCAATCCGCTCTGCACGTGCAATGCTCGTAGACGTAGACTACGTTAATATGTGCATGATGTAACGTGTTTTGTCCCCCCCCCCGCTGTAAGCACGTTTGTTGAACATACTCGGATCCTTTGTTGCTACCGAGGTTTGAAGCGCCGAGGCCGGTAAATAACGATTGTTTTTATGATCGGTTTATTACCGATTGTTTTATCGAGTATTCGCTCTGTGGAGCTACGGCAGATGGACCAAGACGTTTTTCGTTAATTCGAGGAGCACAATGATAATATATAGAAAAACGTCAAATATCCACTTTGGGGAAGTGGGACCGGACCATCTTTTTTTTTTTTTTTTTTTTTTTTAACCAGTTGTGCTTTTTAATCAATTATCTGAATTTATTCTGCGTCAAATAATCGACTAAGGATTACATTTTTTTATTTAGATGGATTATACACGCTCGCCTAATGCAGTTATGTTTTTTTTTCGTTTTTAGATCCTAGTCCTGTAATTAAATAGTCATTTAACTGGGTTATTTTTATATTAATTCCCAGTTACGTTTTTTTATATATTTGTATGTACAATAAATCTTACTTGTGATCTCACGGTCATTGAGCCCTGGAATTGGGACTACCTGTCATCAATGTCACATTCATTCCTGACAACAAACAAGACATTTTCTCTTTCATGGACATATTAAACGTCAAATTATTTTTGCATTTTTCTGCGTCAGCCTTTGTGGAAGCTAAACTAAAACCATTTTCTTAAAGTAAAATTATGTTTTGCAGGTTCATATCCTCAGCAGGCTGTGTACCCTCAGCAGAGCTCTGCACCCGTATACCCTCCTGCTATGCAAATGTCTCCTCAGGCACCTCCTTACACAGACACACCACCTGCGTATTCTGAGGTAACTATTAGTACATTCATGTATCCTGTGGGGACACAATACTCTCAGGGAGCCAGTTTAATTCAGTTATGTTTCGTGTGTCTCTCTCTGCAGATATACCAGCCCAGATACATGCTTCCTCATCAGGTGCCCAGTCAGGTGGCACAGATGTCCTCTCACTACCCTGGTGCTCAGATGTTTATGCCCATGCAGCCACATATGCAGGTTGGGCAAATGGGCCAGAATGTCCCAATGGCTTACTATCCAATGGGAGCCATGTACCCCCCTGGTTCAACAGTGATGGTAGATGGGGGCTTTGATGCTGGTGCTCGCTTCACAGCAAGCAGCGGTGTTTCCATCCCAGTGAGTATCCGCCAAGTCCAATTATTCTGATTTCCTGCAGTTAGGTTACTATTGCAGACAATTGTAAAATCCCGAAGTTGATCAACTACCAATGCTTGCGCTTGTGTCTCCCCTTCTGTAGCCCCCACCTCCTGGACACCCCCCCAATGCAGCTCAGCTGGCTGCCATGCAGGGGGCCAATGTTGTAATGGCACAGCGCAAGAACAACTTCTTCCTGGGTGGATCCAGCGGAGGTTATACCATCTGGTAACAGCAACTCCTCAACTCCTCCTTCATGCCTCAACCGTGTCCCTGCCCCAAATGATGCCCCAGTTCTTCCCCCATCCCATACGCCTCCCTCTTCAGGCTGCTTGGCCATGCCACAATACTGATATCACCTAACGGAATGTAATATTTTAGCGCCCTTCTAAAAGGTACAGTACTCCACTTCTGACCCAGAGATCAAATGATGAATGCCACTGCCTGAAGAGAACAAATGCTAATTTTTAATGTCGTAGAATTCATTCCATAGTAGTCTTTAATGGGTTTAACCCCTTTTGATCATTCCAGCTTGGACCTCTTTCAGGCATCTGTATTTGTTCAAGAGACCTGGTCTCCTTTGATCGAATGGATCACAAATTACATTGAGATGTTCTTGTATACCTGTAAAAGCAACGTAAATTAAATATTGAAATATCCGACCCGCGTTCTATAGTTTAGCTGCTTTATCGTGAAAGTGAAACGCAGTTACAAAGTTGCAGTTAACGTGCAAAAAAAAAAAAATTCCATTTGTCTTTTTTGAAAACTTCTACTGTAGTTCAATTAATAGATGTGTAACAGTTTCATGTAAATACCAGTATGATGATGAGAAATTTACATCTCAACTATACAAAAAAAAGAAGCTTCTGGGATGCTTTAGCTAGAATTGTCTCGTCCTTTTAAAATATCACAGCAAATTAATTGTACAGTCTAACTGACAGATTGTTACATTTAAATCTCTTGTAAATTAAATTAAGCAAATAATTTAAGAAAAGATTTCATGCAATATCCAAAGTGGTTTACTGTACCTTGTTGGGCAATTTGTAGATGAACATAGTGAAGTGCCAAAGAGCACTGGGGGTAGCCCTAATTTCAAGCAAATTAACTTCAGTAAACTTAAAGGAAAGAAATTTAAAGTAAATCCAAATAGTAAGTTGAATAGGAAGGGGTGGTTGGTGTAACATTTTTAGATTTCTTTTTATTTCTTTTCTCCTGTTTCTATTTCACAGTCGGATACCCAGAGTTTATACACTAAATGTTTTATTGTACAGACTTCAAGAACTACTCTCCACTGTTTGTTTTTTCACACAGTATCATTTAGAAACATAAATCCAATTTTTAAAGTATTTATTCACCGTAGAAAAGTGTCACCTTTGTGATAGCATTAGTTTCTTGTCGTTTGAAAAGGTTGAAGAAACTTTAATAAATATTTCAGTGTTTCTTTTTTTTCCATTCATTACTTTCCTCATTTACACGACTGGTTAGGCTGATGCTTTTTTTTGTATAACCAAGTATGATTGGTTTTATTATTAATTTGGTCTACAATGCACTTACGTTTGGTTATTACTTAAAATGTTGTTATTTGAAGGCAAACATCCCTGAATAAGCAGGTATGAGTTGTTAGACCTTCAGTTTGACATGAATAAAATTGTTAGTTATTGTGCTAATGTCACATTATGTGGATTAATCAAATCTTTAAATTGATGCATCATTTTGCACTTATGTCATATTGTATTAAATGTGTTTTATCAGAGATGCACACTAATGAGTTGTTGTGCAGACTAGGGGCTACTTTTTTATGTTTTCATGGCTTAAAAGAATAACTGGGATTTCTGGACCCTTTTTAGAAAAGTCAAGTCCATTTGAAAGTAAAGTTGAGATGTGTCATGCTGTTTGGTAGCCTTAAAGTGTATGCAATGAAACGTAGTGTCTCATAACACACACATTCATTTGCAACCCATTTTTTGTGCGGTTAATTCAACTTTAGAATCTGCACAATACAATCTTAAAGAAGCTCTCCGGAAACTCGCCACGTTCGTATGGATACAATAAACGTATATATGTGTAGACATCCTTAATTTTGGTGTCCGGTAGCGTTGTGTCACTGGGTATCCGACACGCCAGATCAAGTTTTAACAGCTGTGGCCGCCAGAAAAAGAAAATCCGCTGTTGCTGTCGAGCGACATTCAGTTATTTTTGTTTCGGGTCGGAGAGAGCAGCTGTCTGAAAAGTGAGCTGCGGTCATCCGATGAATTCCTTTCAGCAGCTCAGACAAAGCTACTCTACTGGACGTGAGCGACGCGTCACTGGGGTTCTTTAAATGGCTCAATGTTCATTTACTCTCAATCATACTGTCGTTTCATACAGCTCTGCTGGGGAAGAGGCCGCAGCTATCAAAACTTTAGAAAAAAACGATTGATTCAGTTCACGGTTTTATTATTTTCATCTCTGGTTTGTGAAACAGCATAATAGTGGCTTTGTCCCAACAATATGAAGCACTGTAAACTACAGCTGACGAGTAGATGCTATGCCAACCACAGCCAGCCAATGGATTACTCTTTGTTGAAGGATTATGGACGTTTATAGTTCAGGGATTCTCTTTACAACACATTGTAAAATAGATGTACTAAAGTAACGTGACAGACTTTGGTACACATTCTATCTTTTAAGATTACTAAAGATGAGTGTCAAAAAGATGGAATACTTTGGACGAAAAAGGTCTTAGGTGCACTTAACTTTTTTATACTAAACTTAAAATTTAAAATGTAAGTTTAGAATAAAGGTTATTTTGGAAATTTGAAATGCATGTTTGTTTTAATTTTCTATACATATACATTGTATTAGAACCAGGCGGGTTTAAGTTCGAAATTGTGACCTGAGATAACACCTGGGATTTTTGGTTATTGTTTTGTTGTGATAATAGCTTAAGTGTTGCCTTTCCCCGGCCGGACTGCATCACAGGTAACCGATCATCTAACCAACATACTTGATTGTTTGAGTGGATGCTACTTGCTTGGCCTTAATACCAATATCACCTTTGTCATAAACAATTATCTCCCACCTTAGTTTAGTATACATACTGTACGAAAGAGTCAATAACTCAAATATTGTCACTTTGATATAAAAGGAATTGAGTCAAATATGGATCTGTATTTTTGTCAAATATTACCCGAGTATTACAGTTGTCAGTTTCTTGCAGCCCGCATTTCAATCCAACAGTCCACAATGAATCCCTGCTTCACTGAAGCCCATCAAATTCAGTCCTTGTTGATGCTACAGCTTGCCATTGTGTCAGCTAAGCTACTCAACAATGTCAACAAAGACTGAACATGTGCTACTTTGTATGGGATCGCTGTTGATGTGGCTACATGTATGACATTTGAGTGGTGAGCACAGATTTAAAAATCACGTAGGTTTCTGACCGACTATCTTCAAACACATTAAACATCACTTCCAGCTGTCACACTGTATAATGGCACTCGTCCCCAAAACAGGTTTTATATCCATCCACATTTATTTCAGATGGCAAGGAAGAATACAAAACCAGGTACCGTGAACGCTCAGGCGGAATTCAATGATTTGAACTACCTTATACTAAAAATAAAATGGCGTAAAAAAACTATAGTTTTTACAAGCAAATCAATATAAAAGTAACTTCCCGCAACAGCTTCGTAACACGCCTTGTAACAGGTTGGCTTTTTGGGGAAACAAACTGTCAGAATCAAACATACTGCCAATAGTAGAGGAAAACTGAAACATGGCTGATAAAGTGTCAGCTATTGACTGACCGTGTAACTGACGCGCTAAAAGCGCGCAACTTGTTTCATGCATAGCTCTGCTCACCTAAAACGAACACACACGCACACGTTGTCTCGCCATCCATTGATTTTCACTCTCAGCCTAAATATCTTATCTTTGGTACTGCTTGTGCACATTTTTCTCAACACATACATTTTTCGGCTCTGCCCCCGTGTGCAGAAAGTCCTGGCCTTCCCTTTAAAAAAAATTAAATAAAAAAAAAAACACAGAATGATGCACTGTCCCGTTCATATGAAGTATTCCTTCTTCTCGTTGGCGGCCTGGTTATTCTGCTCGTCGTCGGGGTCCTCCCCCGGAGCCGGCTCCCCCGTCGTCCTGTAGTCCCCTTTGTTGTGGCAGAGATACCGGTAAAGCAGGAAGCCGAAAGCAGCCACTGTCAGCAGGATGAGGACAACGACCACTGCAGGAATAAGGTAAAAAAAAAAATCCACTTTTCAAAACATTATGAGGGAAAAGGCTCATGTTGAAGTGCGACCATTTACCTGCCACGACCGCCTCTGAACTATGGGGGGCTGCTGTCGTCACCACTAAGGAAGAGGGAATAAAACGAGGACATTAAAACCACCAGTTACCGCCAACAGACGACGTATAAAAAAAAAAGTTATTTGGATTATTCTCTGCAGGGGCCTAGCGCATTTCCAGGAGGAGGCTGGTTTGCGTGCCATAAATTAAAACATAAAAAATATATGAAGTGAAATAATAAAGTAGGAGTTACCCTGAATCATGGTCGTGTCAGCCTGTGTGGGCGCTGACGTTAAAAGCTTCATATCTGATGTTGGACAAAACACAAGCATGACACGGGTTGATGAATCAGCATCTACGGTCAAGATATCACGATGCTTGTTGGCTGCAACGCTGAGATTAGAAGCCAAGTGTGTACATATCATGAATATTACATTTTAAAAAAAAGAAGAAAAAAAAAAAAGAAGGAACGACAGTGCACTTACCCTTTGTGAAACTTGTGAAATTTGTGGGGAGTGGTGTCGAAGGGGCCATATTTGAATCTGAAAGATGAAAGGAATGTGTCAAACGTCACAGGGAGCGATCTTCAGCACACAGTCTGCTAGTGGAGAGTTGTGTAACCGCATAGCTGCTGCTGGCCGAGGAGGGAGTATGAAGCGTGGTCACACAGTAATCTGGTTATCAAGGTCTGGCTCTGAAACAAACCTGCCAGTTTATTTCCCCCGTGACGCAACGACTCATTAATCAGGAATTACTCAAAATGGAACATTGTGTGGTTTGGACTGATGGTCGAGCCAAAGAAGACCACTGTTGGCGTCCCCTGGCCAGGGGATCTTGTAATTTATTATTGCTTTTACACTAAATGATACGGATTCTGATCAACTAAAATCAAATAACGATAATCGTTAAGCCAATAGTTATAAGGTAGGATGCAATTAAAAGACTACAGAAAAGTAGAACAACCTCAATATTTGAGTACTAAGTATAGCACTTTTAATGTAATTTTATTTAATTGTACCTACTTGATTCTAAAAGGTATTAACAAATAAGAAAAAGGTCATTGAAACACTGGAGTCAAAAAAGGTGGACTTACTATTCATGATTAGTGCCAGTTAACTCACAGGCAAACTTCCCCTGAAAACAAACACAAAACAATACAATCAAACCAATAAAACAACCACATGACTGAGTAACATTTCCGCAAACGTTGTCAAACAATGATTAAGAAACCACGTTAGAAATTAACCGGTCATGCCGCTGATACCGACCACGTGACGCTTTGTTTAACCTTTTTTAGGAGGGGGGGGGGGTGCGTCTCTTCTTCGTCCCGATTAAAGTTAGTTTACTGAACACAAAATAACCTCGAAGAAGAAGAAGACGCACCGCTGCGTTCAGGGGAGTATTTTTCTCGCCGAACAATCAGACATTGTTCATCACAGCTGTCGGGGGAGATCACCTAAAACTCACCTAAACTCACCTAAAACTCACCTGGCTGCAGCGACGCCAAACTATTGGCTCTAAGGGGCGACTTCCGGTCCCCGCGCGCTGACGTCCGGCACCTGAGACCGACTTTAGTTTCAGGTCCGAGGCGCTCGTGTGAGTCTGTTGGGGCGTCGATGAAATACAGTAAGAAGCTGCTTACTTTTCTCCCCTCAAGTACTCGCGAGTGAGTCACGCAGAGAACTCCATTTCCGCACCTCCCTCTCTCCCCCCCCCCTCTCTCTCCATGTCAAAGATCGTGTATGGAGATGATGGGCAACTAAAAATGAGAAACAGGATAATATTTTGGATGTCAATCCATTATAAAAGTCGTATATGAAATAGACCTTTCTCTACCCTGAAGGTGTTTTAGGTTTGTGGGTAACGGATCATTAAAGTACATGGACGTGAACAATTTAATGAATGCATGAATTAATAATCGTTGAATTCTTCACAGCAAAGTATGATACACAAACTTTTAGTTCAAAGAGGTTTTGGCCACTCGGCAGCCTCTTTCATTTGCTGCACTCTTATTTTGCCCTCTCAGATTTAACATTTTTCTCAGATTTTAAGGCTTTAATGGCAATGGGGTGTTTTGCTCCCCACACCAAACTGTCTGAAACTAGCACTGTGCTGGTGGACTCTCGAGTCGCACCCTCCCTACATCCTTCCTGCCTGGTAAACAAACTTGTTTTTAACCCCCAACCAGAAGCTGACATTTTCCTGGGGACGAAATAACGGTTAGTTTGACAATTTTGACACAAAGTCCCCCTCACTAATGCTGTTTGCACAGGCAGACAGATACACCTCAGAAATCTGTAAAATAATAATAGTCAGTTATATTTGGCTAAACACAACATAAGAGGATGCATATATATATATTTGATATAGACACTGCTCAGTAGATTGTTAATGCCTGCCAATGTAATGTGGTTTCTGTGTCCTGGTTCTGACTGCCAACATAAAACTGTTGAGACAGCCGAACAGAACACATCTGAGGTAAATCCCTTCAGATCTCTCTTTCTTTGAATAAATTAGGCAAAAACAAACATTTCTTTCACTGAATGAATCTAGGAAAGACTGCCCAACATTTGGTTCAAATAAACTAGTAAATGTTCTTATGCAAATCAATCAAAGCAAACTAATGCAATTTTTGGGAGGTTCGCAATGACAAAAAGATGAGAAATGTTGGCTGAGTGAGAACTCATCGTTTTTGTCGTTTTCAAAACTTTTATTGGAAGAGAAGGAACCGCAGCCAATTGACACCTTGAATTCAATTGAAACAAAACAATTTATTGTTTACGTATTTCATCATTTTTTCTATAATTTGCCATAACCAACAAATTTTAATATAATTGAGACAAAAAAAAAATGTTCAGAATTACATAATGATGTATCTTGACAGTGCTTAGATAATTAATTGATTTCAGCTTTGTAAGTGAAAAAGATCAAAAATACGTTCATGTTTATATAACGAAAATGGAAAAATGGAGTGCACAGTACAGTTACATTTGTGACCATGGCTTAGTCAGTAGGTTGGTTTTATAATAAGGTGTTTACCTTATGTCTGCTAACATTTACTCTTGATGAGGGAGAAAATAATGAAACGTGTGGAAAAAACTTATCTAAGATCTATACTTTTCAAATGAAACTTAAAATAAAACATGGCAACATGGTTACAAAAATAAAACATTTACCATAGTATGAACTGTACCGGATGTAAAACTGGAAAAAAAGATAAATAAGAAAAATGAACAACAAGACGCACATGTCTATCATTCTGGAAATCAGAGTTTTAAATTTCAGTGAGTCTGTCTCCATATTTGTTTTCCTTTTACAGCTGTTGACTTCAATCTCCTCTCCGTCACTGTTTAATAGAACACAGGGCAGACATGGATGTATGGAGAAGTGGTGGAAACAATAAGATCCATAATAATGCATGAATCATACCAACCTTAAGTCTGAACACTTTACACCTCTGTGCTTTTTGAGTCTGGAGAAGCCTGTTTTTCTGCCGCAGCATCCTGAAAAGTCATGTGAAAGATGAGTCATGACGAAAACACTATCGAACAGAAGGTCTGAGTCACCATCGCTCAGCTCGCTAAACCACACACCTTGTGAGGAAGTCCCGGGCCCTGCGTGTCAGAATGTAACCCAGAAGCTTCACTATTCTCCACCGCACGTGGTTCTGGTGTGCCGCCCCCCGGGGAGCCGTCTTCTCCCTCATCGATGTGCAGCGGCCCGTTGTCTGCTGCGGACAGCTGGAGCTCCGAGCTCTCTGAACCAACGGAGTTGTTCAGTTCACAGCTGCTCTCGCTCGGCGGAGTTTTCCCGCTCTCTCCATGGTTGCCAGATCCTGCGTGAGGCTTGGGCCCGGACGCCTCTTCCTTCAAGCCCGTCGCCTCCTCCGCATCGTTGCCGTCCCCTCCAGACCCAAGCCCATTACCGGCCGCGGCGTCCCCTTGTGCGTGAGAACTGTACACCTCGCCGTGGCTCGACCCCGCGTCCAGGTCTCCGGACTGTGAGATGGAGACTTCGCGCATGCTGCTCTCTCTGGACAAAGTGCTGTGGCGAGGCTTGTCCGGGGACCTGAAGCTAAACCTCTGGCCAGGTCTGGGACTGTAGCCCTTGTGAAACTCGGAGAAGCTGGCTTTCCAGGCCTTGGGGGACGTCAGGCTTCGTCTCTTCAGGGAGCCGTGCCTGAATTGTGTTTGTATTATAAAGACAAAAAAAGCCAGTGAATGATTGGAATATTTGGCTGTGAGCCCCAAATGGAGACATTCACTTATTAAAATAATTCCTTCCAGAATAAGAATCTTTCTATCGGTGTGAAAATATTGGCATTTTTGGTTAGCATGAGAAGATGATACAGCTTTTTGGTGAAAATGATTGTCATTTAAAGCGTCGTTAAAAAGAAAAACCTACCGCTGAATTCGGTTCAAAGCGAAAGTTTTATCCGGGTGCTGAGCGTGCAGCTCGTTCATCACATTCTTTAGATCAAGGTTGAGCTGAAAGAAGACCAAAATTGTCAAATAAGATTAAAAAAAAAAAAAAAAACACAACAATGTGTATTGTTTGCCTACTAACTAAAGAAAAACGCACCATGCTCATTTCCTTATAGAAGATGTCTCTTAAATTGGAAACAGCGGAGAAGACCGTCACAAAGCATCCAATGCGGCTACGGAGGAGAAAAACAAACCGCGCTGTAATACACGTGCATACCTTTATCTTTACATATGATTACAGAAGAAAACACTCTGACAAACCTTTCAAAGAGCGACGGCAGCTCCTGTTTTAACTCAGTGTTGATCCCGTCATAGACGCTTTTGGCCGTATTCATCTCTTCTTCTGCCTTCAGAGTGAAAATTGGAAATGTATTTTTGTGCAAATGAACATTGAAAGGCACAGTTAAAAAAATAAATAAACAGATATGTTAAATAACCTTGTGGATCTTGACGTCATCCCTCTTCTTGGCAGTCTGCAGTGCCTCCAGGTGGTGACGGGAAGAGTCGTAGTCGACCAATTTCCTCCCCCTCTTTGCTACTTTCTCCTGCAGAAAGGAAAAGATTGGCGATGCATTAAAAATCTCACACTTTTGGTATCAAGCAGCCCTTGAGGAGCACGTACTTGCTGTCATCTCAAAAAGGATTGCGGGTCAGGACAGACAGAAAAGCAGGCAGGCTGGGATACTTCACCAGATGCAGCAGCACATCCTGCTCCTCTTGGCAGAGACAAATATTTGTCTGGCATCCGAAGTAGTACGGCAGCGTGGGTATTGGATTGCTCAGATAGTGTGTGTGTGGTTGCTTGTGTGTCTCTGTAGGGTTTTGCATGTTTGCTCTCGGGCCTTTTGTCTGTCTGTGTGTTCACTCCTGTTTGTTTGCACGCTGGCTTCCTCTCGTCTTACCCTGACGTCTGGGAATTGGCTCACGTAGGACTCCATAGTGTGTACGGCCTGATCTAATAGCTTCACCTCGAGGTCATTCCACAGCAGGTCCTCCCCCTTTATTAAAAGGCACAGCACAAATATTGAATTAATTATGCATGAAGAGAGGGAGAAAGAATGGGTTTTGGTCCCCTCGCTATGTGTGAATCCTGTTGCCGTTTGTCCTTGTTAGAAACATGCAGCGCTGCTGTAGTTTATCACTGATGATTGTACTGACCTCTACAATGGCTCCGAGGTCTTCCTCTCCAGCCCAATCACTCTCATAAGAATCAAACAGAGACTGGGAAAGGCGTCTGGAAGCTTCACGCATGTCTGTGAAAAGCAGTCACGTCCACGTGAGACGTGCAGAGGATACAAATCTGCAAAATCTACATGCAAAGGGCTTTTTTTTTTTTTTTTTTACCTCTAACTGCATTGATGTAGTTCCTCAGGTCCTTGTACATTCGGTTCCCATCAGTCTGCGAATAGACAACAGGTTTGCATAATTCAGTCTTAAGATTTATGAATTTCATTGTGTTTTCTTAGTATAAATCATCCCTGTGTTTACATAAACAGTAGAGACAGCCATGGGAATATATTTGTGGTACACTAAAAGATTTTTTTTTTTTAACTGTTCAAACGTTTACTACACAGGAAGTTACTCAATGTGTCTTATCTCTTTATCTCTTAAAGCACGGTAATGATTACCTGCTGGTCATTAAACTGTCGGAAACATTGTTCAAAGTGGTCATCTCTGCTCTCCATCGTCTTCCCCAACCTTTGCCGTACCTGGAGAAAAAGCAAATACCTCAAAGCAACAGCTACACAGCGATACCTTCTTTCTCTTTTGGGAAAACCAAACGTGGAGACTGTTACCTTTTCTTTGCTTCTGCTCAGCTGTCTTTGCAGTTTTTTCCCAAAGTCACCATTGTTGCCTTTTGGACTTGAGCGCTCGGCCATTTTTTGACTTGAATGTGTTTATTCCTGAACGATGAAGGGAAACAGAAGAAAGAATTGTCCTTTGGATCACATATTTAACCCAATTAAGAAATGTGTTCACCCTCTCTGACCTCCAGAGCTCACAATAGAGACTTATGCATATCGGATTTACATCATTGTGTTGATATAAATTAATATCAAGACAATGGCTTTAGTAGTACAAGTAGTAATATTAACACATGAAGCTGCATAATACATATTATTATTGTTCTTTTTTATTACATGCTATGTGATGGTTTCTTTCTATTTGTATTCACGATAGTTCATATTAATATTGTGAAGTGTAGCTATATATTCATTATACTACATATTCATAACTATATACTTGTATTACAATCGGATTTATTTTTGCACAAACACTGTACATCAATTTGTTATAATTCCAAGATATTGTGACTAATGTGTCACTTCACTTTAACACTTGACTCTTGTGGGTTTTTCATAAGAACATTTATGAGCATCTAAATTTAATGATACCATGATACCGTTAGAAAAATGAGGAGAGTGAGGCATAACTGAATAACCTCTTAATATTCAACTCAGTGAGCAGAGGAAGAGAAGTCCTCATGCCGCTGGGACCACTGATGCCTCTCAGCAGTGTTGGAAAAAGTATTCTGATCCTATACTCTTAAGTACCACAATATAAGAAGTAATAAGTCCTGCATGAAAGTTTTTCTCCAACTTGGTTCTTCTCAAAGTAAAGTACTCTATATGCAGCAGATTTACACATGTCAGAGTTGTATTATATATGTTATGTTACTTCACCTTATTTTATTTATGCATTTTGTGTATAGTAGTAATTGCTTTTCAGATTTGTATAAACAAAACAGATGATAATCTCATAAAATGTGAGATTCTTTTACAGTATGTAGAGTCATTCAAATGAGCTCCACTTTTTTTTACCACAATCACAATATTACTAATAATAGTAATAATCCAGCATCATTTTATTCCAAATAAAGCCAACAGCTGTTTTCCTGCCAATAATACTTCACTCAAGTAACATTTGTAATGCAGGGCTTTTACTTTTAATTGTAATGGGGTATTTTTATATCACCATGTAAACATCTGCTGTTAACATTTAGAGTGACAGAACTTCAAATATGATTAAATAAATACAACCAAAAATATCAATGCATGTCATATTATCTAAATCAATGGCCGCAGTTATTTGGGCTATTGTTGTAGGGACATTTAACCGATTATTCCTTTTCTAAAAACCTGTCATTCCTCCACACTCAGTGACCCCTGGCTGCTCCCTTCCGACTCATTAACCGCATTAATCCTCTTGTGAACTACATTACCCAGAGCTCCCCGCGGCCTCGCCCCTACCCGGGAAATACATAACGACAGCGGTGAACTTTAAACACAGCGGTTTGTCGGAGGAGGAGGAGCGGCTCCCATGACACATTCCGATCGGATTCTTGCTCTGCTCGCCGACCTGAAGGACGCGATCATGGGCAGCACCCTGATCAAGTGCGCCGCCACCGACCTGAGCATCCAGTGGGCCGGCTGGGCTCTGGCCGCAGCCTTCAGAACCGAGAAGTTCTATGATTTGGCAGGTAAGTTTAATACACTCGGACAATTGTGAATATCGATTTTCCGCCATGTGCGCGCTGTTTTCCTTTTTTTTTGTTGTTGTTGCTTTGCAGCCTGACAATTGTTTTAACATCACATTAAAGTGAGACGCATCCACGTTAGACGACTGCGATTCAGCTCTGCGGGGTGTCATTGGGTACTTAGCGTTACATGTCGAACTTTAACAGTTATGCAACCCGTGAGCAGCTTTGTTGTGAAACGACCGAGGAGCTCCTCCTTCAATTATAGGAAGCAGCACGCGCACCAATCCGCTCAACCGGTGCGCGTCCCCGCACCAATCCGCGCAACCGGTGCGCGTCTCCGCAGGGGCGTTCAGCGGGATCTTGGGGGCGCCTTTTTGAAACGCAAAGGGGGCCCCAATTCACTTCAATTTTGCAAATTTTTTTTTGAGAGGCCAAATTGAGAAAGGACACAGCCTGTCTCCTCACTAGTGATTCGTCGTACCTGGTGTTACCTTTGCAGTGGTAAAAGCTCCAGTTAAAACGCCACAACATTATTCATACACAAATAAATGTCCTCGGCTCAGATGTTGGGCACACCCCATTCGATAAAATGTTTTACTGCTTTGAAAACCTCTGCTCAAGACCGGAAGTCAAATGATAGACTGGACAAGCAGCGGCAGGGTGTCCTCCTAAAGACACTCCTCTTCAGACTCTACCTCCACTAAAAGACTATTTTGTAGCACTTAAGTGGCATTAGAAGTACAATTTATCTACAGCAAATTGTAAATTGGCTTACTTGCTCTTCTGAGTTTGTACCCTATGGTTGAATGCACTTATTGTAAGTCGCTTTGGATAAAAGCGTCGGCTAAATGACAATCCTGGGCGCTTTTGCTCATTGTGATCCCCATGTTACCCCATCCTGACATCTTATAGATTTAGCAGACTAATCAATAACGGAAACACCATGCCTATAATTTGCCGTTATAATCTTACTTCTCAGTGTGAGCGTCACCCGTGACAAGTGCTCAGCGTACAAAGTGTGCCGGCAAAGACGAAGTTCCAGGCAGCTGCAGGCGTCCAACCAGATAATTCTCATAAAAGTTGTTTCAAATAAAAACAGAGCAGCTTACCAGTTCTAACTTCACAAACGAATTGACTCGTCCTCTTCTTGTCCTCCACTCTGTGCTGCTCTCCCGGATATTTTACCCTTGAACTTTGGAACCAATTGTCCGCGGCACCTTGAGTAAAAGATTTATTGAACACGCCTTGATCTGCAACTAGTAGAGCCGTCCGCCATGTCCCGATCGCCCCGAGTCTGCAGCAAGTCTCTCTCTCTTCTCTCACAGGATCGGGCACCTTTATACTCCTCGCCCACCTTAGTCGTGTCTGGGGAGGAGCGAGTCATGTCCGCCAAAAGGTGCAGACTGGTTTGGTGACCGCGTGGGGACTCAGGTAAGTAAGGCAGCTTTGGACCCCCCCCCCTACACAGGGGAATAAAATACAGAGGGCTGGCATTCCTTTAATATATTTTATTATCACCTACGGAGTTTTGTGTGAGTTCGAAGTCTCCTTGGAAAGTTCGGAGGAGTAACTAACACGAAGAGCTTAACGTCAGGTTAATGAATAATGCCTTTGGTTAATGGAAGCGTCCGTTAACTGTGTCCTCTCTCCAGGCTGGGGACATTCCTCTTCATGCGGATCCTGAAGGACGGCCAGGATCGCAGGTTCAACAATGTCAGAGACAGCCCAGGGACTTTCTTTATATATTGGACGGTTCAAGGTACTTTTGTGGCAAGATAAGCGCCACGAGATTAGTTCATGTTCGTATTAAAAGCAAGGCTGGTTAAAGATGCTCCATTTCCCCTCCCTCTCTTTCAGCCATGTGGGTATTTATGACGCTCCTGCCCACACTCATGCTGAACATTGAGAAGCGGGACGTGCCTCTGGGCGCGAGGGACTACATTGGCTGGACTGTTTGGGGCCTCGGCTTTGCTACCGAAGCCATTGCCGACCAGCAGAAATTGCTTTTCAAGCGTGACCCGGATAACGTTGTGAGTTAACGGACCTCGTGCAACTTTTGATGCGTCATTTACTGTGAAGAACGGAAGTTAATTTTTTTTTTATGTGGCTCCAGGGGAAATTCATCCAGAGTGGACTATGAGCGTACAGCAGGCATCCAAACTATTTTGGGGAGATCCTGCAGTGGTCAGGGCTGTGGCTCTCGGCCTCGTCAGTGATGGAGGGCCCTCAGTATCTGAGCGTGGCGTCGCCTCTCTTCCTCTGGTTCCTATTGCGCTACGTCAGCGGAATCCCCATCCTGGAGAAGCAGGCCGTCAGGAAGTGGGGCTCGGACCCGGGCTTCCAAGACTACGTCAAGAACACTCCCCTTCTCTGGCCGTGGCCGAAATTTTGATATTGTTGTACCAATAAATGCCTGACAAAGTTACCATGTAGACTTTCAATAAAGTCTAGTTATTCTGTATAATAAATTGACCTCATCTTTACATAAAAGCCTTCCGTGTAAGCTATGATAGACAAATGTTTTTATATTATATAGTTTTTGGAATAACAAGTGTCTTAATCTGCTTCATTAAAAGTAGAGTAAACCCTGGATCATAAAAGCTCTTTACATCCTGCAACATTTAGATTCAGAAAGTGAGGTTAAAGCACAAACAAATTTCCGAGAGACACACAAGACACTTGGTTGTAAAAGGTTAGAAGTGTATTTTAAAAGTAACATGAATTCTAGCGTGTGTACAAAATGTGTGCCAATAGTTGAACCAATAATGCCACGACAATTTAACTGGCTAATCTTACAAGGTAATTGCCTTTCGCATGAGACTGCTCCTAAGCATCCACCCGGAGTACAAACATTACAGAGAGCAATAAACATTAGACAAGCAAAAGGAGCTGGAGGAAATTAAAGTCTTAACTAGAATACATTCCTGATGATCACTGACCGGACTAACACAACTGCAAGTGAAGATATTAAAACAGTGTTTCTGTTTCAAGAGATTAATGCCAATCAACAACCTCACACGGAGTCGAGCTTTCAGCAAATCCATATCAACAACGTCTAACTACTGGTGGAAGTATGAAAAGGAAAACTATTACAATTTTCTGGAGGATAAAAGACAAATAAAATACAAAAGAAATGGAACATAAACATTAAAAAAAAACTCTAGAATGCCATGCTTGGGAATCAGTTATTCAACTTCTGAGTGACACATGAGTTGAAACACTGTCTAAAGAAAGAACTGGATTTAGGAGTCACAATAAAACTGCATATACAGTACATATTTTCAATTTTTCTCAAAAAAAAATAAACAGCAGATTTCCATGTGTGAAGAGGTGAGAGCCAAATGTCTTGTTAAACATTTTGCTCTTAAGACACACAACTGTGCATATATAGGTTAAAAAAAATCAGCCTTTTACAAACACGCAAAACACAACTATTGACTATTGCAAAAAACACTAACGACTTAAATTCTGAAGGTGTTTACAGCCGTTTTTAAAGCGGTACCGTTCCACATAAATGCAAAGAAAGCATTCATTGGTTGTTATTGTATAAAGAAAAGGTCAAGTGAAGTTGCTTTGGATTATTTAAGGAGTGGAGATGCAAAGAATTTCCCTTGACGAGAAAGTCCAATTTGATTTGCAGATTTGCTCTTGCTCCCGAATCTGCAAAAAAATAAAAAAAAAACTCCACATGATGACATTTAATTGAATTAGGAATAAAATGAATCAGTCAGTGAACAGTATTGAGAATATTCAGATATCCGCTAAACATCTGTATCAGCAGCACACGACATGTCAGAGGTGGAAGTAATTCTAAGATCGTTGGACCTCATCCAATAACTATTTGGGTCTCATTTGTATTTACAATACGGATATTTTACATCGATAGATTGATACTTAGTGCATTGATACAATAATGCAACACAAAAAAGAAATCTCAGCACTGTTGCATCGTTACAATCGCACAATGCATGCGCTCATGAGAATTGTATAAGTACTGCACCAACAAAACCATATAGGGCCATACGTCCTAGGCCCAACGCCAATTAAGTCCCGCTTTCCAACAACCATAAGAAAGTCTTTAATCTTTACCAGTTTCATCAGTAGAATTCAGCACATTATGGGGGGAAATATTGAGCGCTGTTAATGCCCTGTCACTGAAATAGATGGTACAATAGGAAAAACGTCTGCCAACAGTAAGCCTAGGGCTAATTTATATAAATGATCATATCGTTAGTGATATGAATACATTTACAAATAGCTTGGCCTTTAATTTAAATTGCCACGTCGATCAGGATTATTTTAACGTAATTAAAAAAGACTTTTCCAGCTCAAATTGACTTCATAATAATGAGCGCAAAACATTAGATTAATTGCTAAAATAGCTGAATGCGGCCAGTTCTCACTTGAGAACAAACTAGTCCGAAGGAGCCGTTCTTGCATGAGGCCCGCCGATTATGGAAATAATGTCACAACCGTGCAGAGAGGGCATGTGCTTGTGTTTACCTGGGCGTCAGAGAGGACTTCATGCGCTGAGACAGGGAGCTGGAGGAGGGGGTTTTATTGAGCTGGTGCTCCGGAGTAGTCAGAGGTCCCAGCATGCTCACTGCGACAGGACAAATATTACATTGAAATATCAACCAGCAAAAAACAGTATCCCAGACTCGCATAGCAAACACTGCAGGGAAAAAAAAAAAAGCCCCACACAGGGTTTAGTGAGCACGTACTTCTCTCGGGGGTGGCATAGCAGTTTGCGTTCTCAATGATCAGGTGGTCCAAGTTGGGCGGGTAGCTTCCTGCATTCACAAACTGGACCCAGTAATCCACGGGCAGAGCCAACAGACGCTCCACGACCTGAACAGAGAGATTAGAGAGAATGCAAAAGAAATCAGGGTAATTTCAGTGTGTTGCCCCATCCTCTGATGCTGAATGCGTGTTGTAGAGGCCCAGGGCAAGACAGCAGGAAATTACTTAGAGTTTATTGTAACATGCAGAGCCTCTGAATTGTAGGATTATCCAATGTTTTGCCTTTCGGTCAGTAACTCGTTATGTATGGTTAAAAGAATGTTTTCCTAATTAGTGGGATAATTAATAATCCCAATGTTGATATACTTATGGTATATTATATTTCAAATTTAAACTAGACTTTGCAACATAAGTTTTGCCTCACAGTAAACATTTTGATTGACAGCAAATACAATATTATCCAAAAGCTTTTAGGTAAATTAGAGGCCATTTTTCATTGCATTTGCGGTTGGAAGCAGCCGTTCAATTAATTTAGATTCTGTAACTATTGCACTAGTCCAACTGATCATTTCAGTGGCAGAATCCAACATGCCGGTCTTACATTCTCAAGGAAACTCGAGAAAAGGATGGCTGCAGGTTAGATGCATCAGGCTCACGGCAGAACAACAAGATGTCGCTCACGACACGATGGGAAAACAAGGCTACATTTATCTGGTTATCCACATGACAGGTGTTTGCTGCCCCACAGGAGTCCGGCACACGTAGTACTGAACAACGCTTGTTTTTACAATAGCAACATTACAATTCGACCTCATTATGCGACTTAAGAAGAAACACGATGCGCAATAGACGGGACACTTCATTCGGGCTCACCCTAGGTTGTCGTTTGGTGTCCTGTAGGATTGTCATAGGATCAGGGTTAGGAACTGCGTGACCCACAATGGTCGGTCCAAACACTCGAGCCAAGTTGCTGATGTTCATCTTGGTGTCCAAACTGACAGCGACTCTGAAAGATTTTATTAGGACTCAGTTATGTCTCCTTGATAAATATAAAATACCCTAATCTAAAAAGGGGTAGAGGTATAATAGCTGTAACAATAATACAACAGCAGGAAGTGTATGTTTTTTTTTTTTCATGTTGAAGTAACGTCTCCTGCGCATGCCAGATCCCTTTCCCAGCAATTGGAATTTGCACAGCATATAATTTTTTTCATAGCCACAATGGACCGGTAATATTCCCCAACCCACATTCCATGAAGGAATGAGGAAGAGGAAGAAGAGTTAACTTTAGAGACAAAAAAGACTAGTGTGATTAATGACTTCTGCTTAAGCGTGGAGGTTTTCATAAGGATGGCAGCCTTCGTCTGTAGCGCTCCAATGTATGATTACAATTATGGGTACATTCCAAATGACACCATAAATCAGACCCATGGGTTAAATCACCACAGGCATTGCCCTGTGTAGAATAAGTTAATGAGACACACAGCTTTGCTTAAAGCCAGTCGCCCGAAACTAATTAAGAGGGTACAGTAAAACCAAACAGAAAAGGTCAGTTACAGATACACAACCATGAGTCTGTAGGAGGGACACACAAGGCATCACAGCCAAATGAATGACTTTGTTATCAAATGTATTTGGTATTATATTTTGTACTGACCTCTGAAGGTGAAGGACTAGGAAAGCCAGCGTGTCTCTGTTGGGCTGTGGCAGGTCACTGATGGTTTGGTACATCAGAGCAATGCTGTTGTCATCATCAGAAACCTCTGAAAGGAAACAAAGAAAACTATTTGGTTAGCAGAGGGAGGCCGTGCATGTTCATCAACTCCAAAGCAAATGTACTGGCAGACTAACGACAGACAAAAGATCAATATATTTAGTTTTTTTTCTAGCACGAGCCAAACACACACACACACACACCGGCTGCGTCCATGAATGTACGGTTGAGGCGGAAGGTGAGGAGAGGCTCCTTGAGGTTCCTCAGGAAGTCCTTGAGGAGGCCAGTGATGGCATTGACGTCCTCCACCTTGCTGAGCACCGGAACGGTTTTGCTGCGTAGAAACTTCTCCTTCAGGTCCTTCACCGTGCGATCCGCACCGGACAGACGGTAGAGCCCGGCCTGAGAGGAAGTACAATTATTTAATCGGTGGGCAGCAAGACATTTGGAGCAATTAGGAATTCAAACTCTCAGGAACAGCTGGTCCCATCTTAGTTACAGCTCTCTGTGGGGAATACATTAAACAGGTAACTGCTGGTATATGAGGCTTTACCAACTTCCACATTTGTGCACATAAGGACGACGCTCACCTCATGCAGGCCCCGTTGCTCGATCTCACTAATACAGTGCACCACGAGAGGTGGAATCATGGGCGATACGTCCGACACGTAGTCTGCAAGCACACCCTGGGAACAAATGACAGATGGGAAAAAAGAAAAAAAAAATCGGTCAGCACTGGGAGTAAACGAGAGCAATTAGGGAGGAAACGCTCAGTCACACACACCTCCCCGATTTTGACCGGCGTGGCGCCATGGTTGGGGATGCATGGCAGAGGGCACCGCTCGCGACACTCTGGGTGAGACACCACCCTGCAGTCACGGCACTTCAGGGAAATCTTGCCAAACTTGATCCTCTTTCCACAAGGTACACACGATTCCGGTTTAATGACCTATAGAAAGACAGAAAACACTATTTAGGACGCTGGTAGAGATTGTGCGTCAACAACCACCTTCATGTTCAGCTAAA